GGGGACGGGCCGACGGGAGGGAGGCAGCGCCGCCCACCCTGGTGGCCGGGGCTCCCACTGCTGCCGCTGCCCCAGCTGCCCCAGCTGCTGCCTTCCCCGCTGTCACTTGTGCTGTGGGGCACCCCAGGGCCGGGCTGGACTCTCAGCCAGCCAGGGGGTACGCAGGGAGCCCCCAGGCCCCAGAGCCAGGCAAAATCCAAAGCCCCTGGCTGGTGACAGGCAGCAGTGTCCCCCAGGCAGCGGTGGCTCCACTCCTGCGGCCTGACCCAGCGAGCCGAGCCGGCAGGGCTGAATGTGACCTCCAGACGCGGCAGGCACTGGCGGGTGGCGGCGGGCGGGGGCCCAGGAGAGGCGGGCCGACTTGGCACAGGGCTCCCTCCCTCCTCCCCATCCGCGGTGGTGGCAGCGGCAGTGGCGGCGTCAGCAGCGGTAACAGATGAGGGCTCCAGAAAAACAGCGCTCTCCACCCCCGGCAGGCAGGGCGCACGCAGCCTCTTCCGCCAATGCCCTCCCGCCCTTCCACCTGCACCGGCTGAGCGTCCCCACCCACCTGGCCAGCTGGGGGCGCTGTGGGGGCGCGGGCTGTGCACTCAGCAAGAAGCTGGGGTTGCAGGCCCGGTTGGGGGAGACCCCAGGCAGCATGGGGAGGAGCTCCGGGGTCCCCAGCCCACCCCCAGCACCTGTTCCCCATCCCAGGTGTCTCCGGGGAGGCTGCACTATAACCCAGCTGAACTCTGGAGCAAGATCTGGGTCAGGGCTGGTTTCCACAACACTTGAGTCATCAACCTGCTCTTCTTCCAACCCTTGGTCTTCCCCAGGGCAACGGGCACCTCCGGGGCTCCCTGCACCCCCAGCCCGAGCCCAGCCTTTATTCCAGGAGGGCATACAAGAGCCAGTCCTGCTGGGCACCACGGGCTGTGGCTGAGTCCCACACCCACACCCCCTGGGAGCTCTGGGCGAGCCACGAAGGACGACATTCCTGTGGTGTCATCCCTGGCCTCCCATGACCTTCCCAGGACCTGCATCCCCTGAAGGAACCCTGAGGCCACTGAGGGCCAGTGCTGCTCCCTGGCTTGTGCAGCCCGAGCTTCTTTCTCTGAATGCCAAGAGTGCCACAGGCCATTTGCACCTGCTGTTCCTGCTGGAGCCTGGCTTTCTCACAGCTCTATCTGTCTTACGGGCTGGGCTTGAATGCCACCTCCTCAGAGAAAGATGGCTCCACCAAAGACAGCATGCTGAGGTTTACTGTCTCCATGGCTCTTGCTACCCCCAATCAGCACTTTGATCCACAGCTCACTGCCCCTGTCCCTCTGCCCACGGGTACTGGGTATGCAGGGGCACTCGGCAAAGAATGACACTCCAGACGACTCAAGCATCGGAATCTGGGGCCCACTGGCATCTGAACCGGTGGGGTGGGTACTCTGCACCCCAAGTGTACCCAACAGTGGAGGCTGCCAGCGCATGCTGTGGTGTGGATTCCCCAACCCTCTTCTAGGAAGCAGCTTGCTCTGGAAGTCAGGACGCGGGAACTAGGAAGTGAAACGGACCAGACAAGAGGCCTGGCCAGAGGGTGGGTGTTGAGTGCATCCCTGGCTTCGGGGCCCTGGCTCCCTCCTCCCCTTGCATCCCAGCAGCTCTCCTGGGGCCATGTCCCCCCAGGGTCCCCGCTGGCCTGAGAGTCAACCCTGACCCCAGAGCCAAGCACTCTCCGGACAAAGCAAGCACAAAGCAAGCAGGGCTCAGAGGGGTGCAGTCCCCTCTCCCTGAGAAACTCATTTCCAAACAAAGCCCCCAGGCAGGTGACTTTCACACAAACTCACCCTGTGCCAGCCTGGCTCCCGCCTGCCCCTTTCTCCTGCCACTCCGTGGGCTGCCCCACACCTCCTGCCCTGGTGCTCGCCCTCAGCTCAGGGCTTTCTCCCCATGGACCACTCCAAGCCCCAGCCCCACTGTCCCCAGACACGGCTCTACCGCGGCCAGGCATGGCCCCCTCTGCCCGCCCCGAGCCCAGGGCCTCTGCCACAGCACACGCACTGACCACCAGACCACACTGCCCACCGGCCGGGCAGCAGGGTGGGGACAAAGTGTCCAGGGCTCAGGCCGGACCTCCCGGGAGGCCCTGGTGCCCCGCCCCAACCTTACTCCGCCCTCACCCCAGGCCCGGAGGCCCGCCCTGCTCCTGGCTCCATGGGCGACCTGTCCCGCTGCTGGCTCCTGGCCACCTGAGGGGCGGGTCAAGACTCTGAGCCCGGCCAGGCCAACCTTTCCCAGGGGAAACAGCGGCCCTGGCCCGGCCGGCACCTGCCAGGCCCTCCCACCCCATGGCACCCGGCCCAGGCGGCCAGCCAGCTGCCCGGGCTGCCAGGTTACCAGGGAGGCAGCTTCCTGCCCAGCCTCCGGCCCCATCCAGGGTGAGCCCAGGACAGCAGCCCTGACCCCTGCACACACGGCGACCCATGGCCCTCGTGCTCCCTCTCCATCCTCCTAGATCAACAGCCAAAGTCCACCCTGCACCTGTCTCTCATATCCCCTCTCAAGGTTAGGCCTCACTGCCCGGCCACAGGCCCTGTGCACATGCTGTTCCCTGAGGGCGATGTCTTTGCCACCTTCCTTCCTGGGGAACAGCACCTCAGCTCATTCAATCTTCACACCACCTCCATTTCCACTCTGCTCCTAGGGCTGTGTGACCTCAGGCAGCTCAGTAAACCTCTCTGGGCTTCAGTTTCCTTTTTTTTTGCTACTGGGAATTGAACTCAGGACCTTGCACTCACTTGCCAGGCAGACGCAGCGCCACTGAGCTACATCCCTGGCCCTGCTCTTCTGAACAAAGCAAACACTAAAGGTTACTGAGAATGAAGTATCTCCATACCCAGCCCCCACCAGGCTGAAGGACTGGGATGCCACCTGCCCGGCACAGCTGCTGCTGGGTCCTCTCCACGCTGCAGGCTCCCGAGGGCGGGCGGCATGGAAGGAGTCTCGGGCACGCACCTGCTCCCATCCCCGCCGGAACACGCCGCCCGCCCTCGGCAGCCTCCCTGCGCGGTAATTGTCCAGATTGCTGTAATTCACGGCACAGCGCACTGGCACTGAGCTCAGGCACCATTACAAATGTCACCGAGCAGGCTCGAGCGCCCCCGGCTCCCGACTCATGCGCAGCCCATGAGCTCAGCACGGCTCCCTCCGCAGGTCCAACCTTGAGGCCCGCAGGGCACGTGTCACCCAAGCAGTGACTCAGCCTGCGGCCCCCCTGCCCTTCCTGAGGACACAGGGACAGGGCGCAAGGACCGCGGTGCGGGATGGAGACCAGGGACCTCGTACTATCAAAACATCATTGTAAGCGGGGGCCCCCGACACTCTGGGAGGCTGAAGCAGGCCCACTGACCCCATCTCAGAAACCCAAAAAGCAAACCAAATAACCAACTGTTACGTGGTTACGCTTTTAATTATAGGCCTTCTGAAGTTTTCATTCACGTTGGCTGGGCGTGGTGCCACGCGCCTGTCAGCCCAGCATCTGGGAGGCTGAGGCAGGAGGGTCACAAGTTCAAGCCCAGCCAGGCCACCTAGTGACACCTGTCTGGGAATTTAAAAAGGGCTGAGGGAGTGGCTCAGGGCCAAAGTCCAGGGTTCAATCCCCAGCAGTACAACAATCACCACGCCATTTTGCATGCGTGTTCACGGCAGCGGTGCACACAACACACATAAGCAGGCTGGCCGCTGGGCCACGCAGCTCCAGCAGGGTACTGTGTACGGATCGCTGCCGGCAGGGGTGGATGCGGGAGGCCACGTGTGGCCCCATTTACAGACGCCCAGGAAGGCAGTGCCCGCCACCGCAGGGACAGAGGCACACTTGCGGCTGCCAGGGCAGCAGGGCACGGGTGGTGGACACTGGGCCGCTGGACACCGCCCGACTGCTCAGCTTCAGCAGCCGAGACTGCGGTCCGTGAGCTGCTTCACTAATGCAGCAGAGGTGCGGGGGCCCCGGCCCCCAGGCTGCTGCTGAGATTCACCCAGAGACGACAGGGGACACGAGAGCTGGCCACACGGCAGCCCACCAGGGGGACAGCCGGCACCCGAGCGCTTCCCTGAGCCCCGGAGCCAGAGGCCCAACCACGACCCTGCTCCCTTCCACATGACACCCAGGGCCCAGGCCGGGCCTCCAAGCCACTTCAGCCCAACACGGGCTGCTGGAGGAAGGGCAGGGCCCGGAGGTGGCCCAGGGGAGGATGGGTCCCAAGATGCCCTGGGGACTGTGGGTCCTTGGCTCCGTGGCCACCCTGGACAGATCCAACTCCAGGACCCTGAGCCGCTCGGCTCAGGCAGAGGCAGGAAGGTGGCGGCTGAGCGCCTGGCTGCTCAGGGCGGGACGCCTGCCTCTCGGCCTGGCCTGGTCCCTGAGAGGGGTCACCTGACCCCGCCCTGGTTCAGAGCGCTAGGTGGTCCTCGGGCCAGCTTCTGTGCCGTGGGGACAGGGGCAGGACCCCGTGCACAGCCCTGGTCCCAGCATCACTGGAAGAGCCGCTCAGAGCTGGGAGCGGCACTGTGTGGGGACAGGTGTCCCCCCAGGGCACGAGGGAGGGGGCCACGCAGGCCCGGGGCCTCACTGCCGGCCTGGACACTGGGCCCTCTACAGACGGCCACTGAGGCCACGAAGCCAGCAGCCAGCAGGCCACGGCTTCCAGGAGTCAGGATGCACCGCGGCGGCCACGCTGGCCTGCTCCCCGGGCGGCACGTCTGCAGGCGCAGGTGAAGAGGTGCGGGTGCCCAGCCTCCTCTCCTTGCTGCCGGTCCCAAGGCCACCAGGAAGCGGAGTGTGGCCTCTGCCTGCCCAGCTCCCCCAACACCAGAACAGTCTCGGGCCCCTCTCGGTGGGCGACCCGCTCGGCTGTCCCCGCCACACAGCCGCACAGCCAGGCAGGGGCAGGACCTGCAAACCGGAGTCCAGCTTCACACACCCACAGCCTCCGGGAGACACGCACGCCCCGTGGTGACCGCCACAAGCACCAAGCCCGGCCGACACGCAGAGGAACGGCATCATAGGACCCGGCCGCAGCAGGCGCCAGCAGCCACCCCGGGCGGCCCGAGGACACGGGGCTCCGAGGAGGAGCCGGACCCGGGAGCCGCTGCCCACACCAACCGCAGCCTCGCACCTTTCTTGGCCGTCTCCATCTCCTCCTCCGTCCAGCGCGAGGTCTCGTTCATCTCCAGAGAAGCTGCAAAGGGACACAGGCATGGGCAGGGGCCCAAGGGGCCATGCTCCGCCTCCTGTGGCGCCCAATCCTTGAGTGGCCCCTGAGTGGCCCTGCCACCGCTGTCTACACATGGGGACACTGAGGCAGGCAGGGGCCGTGGCCTGCACTCTGCCGGGCAGAGGTGGCCCGAGGGTGGGTGGGCAGAGACCACGTGAGGGCAGGAGCATCCCTGGGGTCCCTGCATCAGGGGTCCCAGCTCACTGTTCGGGGGCAGGGGCTGCCCTGGGCGGGGTGACAGGAGTGCTGAGGCCCCCACGCTGAACACCCACAGTGACTACCCAGTGTGTCCCCAGGCATCCCTGCTTGTCCAGGTCAGAACCGGCCGCCTGCTGCCCCAGAGGAACACTGCCGCTGTGGGGGCCAGAGCACGGCGGCCATGTCTCCATGGCGGCACTTCCCAGGCTCTCCTCCAAGTGACGGGATGTGAGCCTGGCCCCTCCTCCCTCCCTTCTAGTGCCTCAGGGTCATGAGGGGGTGGACACAGGGACAGCACCAGGCACAGTCTGGACGCTCAAGCAGGGCTGGCCAGCAGCCCCAGCTGGGATGGGGACAGTCCCCTGGGCATGCAGCCTCCCGACCCTGCTGCTGGCCCCAGTGCAGCTGTGGGGCTCAGCAGGGGCGGAAGGTACCAGAACAGTGCAGCCCGTGGGGTACCGGGTGCGTTTCCACCTGCAGCCCAGCCCCTGCGTGGCCCTGGAAAGCACCATCCCCAGAAACGGGTGTGCCAGGGGTGCGGCAAACACCCACAGGCCTGCACCGGATGTGGGGCCGGGCCGAGCGGGATTCCAGGCACACCATGACGCGCGGGGCACAGGCCCCTTCTCTGGCCTTGAAGAGCCATCTGGAAAGGGTCCTAATGAGCTCCTCGGGAAGAGGGGCTGCATACCCAGCAGAGACCCCAGGAGGGAGCAGCGGAGTCGGGCAAAGTGGGGCATCATCTGCCCGGCTCCCATCCCGGGAAAGACTACAGGCAGCCCCAGTTCCCCAGGGGCCAGGGCCGTCACCAAGCAGCTGCAGACGTGCACGGCTGCCCCCTGTGGCTGGGCTGGGGAACTGCAGCTCAGGTCACTTTTCTCCCGTCTTGGGAGGGGGAGGACGAACACCCTGGGGCAGAAGGCGGCAGACACCTAGGGTGGGAGGGAGGGTGCAGCAGCGCCCACATCCTCCTGGAAGCCCCATCAGCTGCGCCCCCTGGACATTGGGGTGGTCGACAGCCTGTGTCTGCCCTCGCCCCAGGCCCTGGGCAGAGAAGACCGTGGGGATACTGAGGCGCGGAGAGGGCGAGGAACCTTCCCCAGGCCGCACGGCAGCTCGCTGGGGTCTGAGCCCGGGTCCCTGTGCTCACCCAGCTCGGCGCTCTGCTGCGGGGTGACGGCCTCGTCGCTGTTGGCCTCGTTGGCCATGGAGCGGGTGATGCGGCCCTTGCGCCGGCCCTGGCTGTTGGCGGTTTTGCGGCCCTTGGAGGCCACGGCTTCCTTCTCATCATTGTCCTCCCCGGAGGTGTCGTCCGTCTTCTCCCTGAAGGCCAGAGCGGGGTGGAAGTGCACTCGCCAGCCAGGACGCCACCATCGTGGCAGGGGACTCGACTCCTGCTCCGGGGACGCCACCTGTGCCCAGCGCAGCGCACATGAAAAGGGCGAGCTAGGGCAGGGGCTGCGGGGCTCCCGGGACAGGCACCGGGCCCCAGAGACCTGGGACGCCAGCTTGTGGCTCAGAGGAGGTGGGAGCCACAGACTGCTGCAGGCAGCAGCCAGGGCCAGCGGAGCAGCGGCCTGCTTCCCTGGGAGGCGCCAGAGCTCTTCTCAGAGCCCTGGGCCTGCACAAGGCTCCATGCTGCCTGCCCGCGGCAGCACCTGCCCAGTGGAACGGGGTGTGGCTGGCAGCAAGGCCAGACTGCTGTGCTCCCCAGGGGGACGCCTCCCAGAGCTGTGTGCGGCCTCACCCTGCCCCGGGCGACCCCGCAGCCCTGGGGACGCTCCCGCTGGCTGCCGCACCAGCCCCAGGGGCGCAGGGGCACATGACCTCTGTCCCGGGCCTTCTGGGACCCGCTCGGGACCTGCGGCCTGGGTGAGGCCTGGGCGGGCGGGCAGCCAGATGCTCCCAGAGCCGCGGCGGGGGCCTGGTGCCCAGCGGGCCGCCCCCAGCTCTGCTGGCCGTGATCCTGCCTCAGCCTCCAGCCCCCTCCTGCTAGAGCTGGGGGGGGACAGGAAGTGGCAGCAGACGGCAGACGGCGCCCCGGTTGCTCCCCGGAGTCGGCAGCTCAGCAGCAGAGCTCGAGGGGCCGTCGGCCTCCCACGTCCCGAGGGCACCAGGAGGCAGAAGAGGGCGCCCGGGACGCGTCCTGCGCAGGCGGCCACGTGGGGAGCCTTACTTGCCGAGCTCCTCCTTGCCGCTCTCCACGTCCGGCTTCTCCTCCTCCTTCTCGGCCTCCTTCTCCTTCTCCTCCTTCTCCTCCTGGCTGCTGCGCGGGGGCGGTGGAGGCTGCTGCTGCAGTGGGGGAGGCCGGTGAGGCAGGCGCGTCTCAGTCCCACACCTGGGCAAGGCCTGCGCCGGGGCTGGGGCGCACTTGGCCAGAAGGAAGGGGCCGGGGCCACAGGGGAGGCGGAGACGCTGGTGCTGGGCCCCAGGCTCTGTTCGTGCCCCCTGAAGGAGGGCCTTAACCTCTGTGCTTGGATTTTGTCACCTGGAGTGGGTATTTTAGCCAGGCACAGTGGTGTGCACTTGTAATCCCAGTACTGTGGAAGGCTGAGGCAGGAGAACCTCTCAGAGCACTCAGGACGGTGGCCGGCACAAGGCTCATGTGGGGCACAAGGGACCTGCTGTGGGCGGGACGGGGCGCTGACAGCCAGCCTTGCCCCACCCCGCCTGAGCTCCAAGTGTGTACAACAGGAGGGAAGGGAGGCCCAGGTCCGAGGCTGAGCGCCCCAAGCCGCCCCATACAGCCACGCCGAGGATCAGGCTCTCCTGCAGGCCCAGCCAGCATTGTGGACACCCCAGCTTATTCCAACGGTCACCCTCATGTGAGAACAGGGACTTCAGCCTGGACCTTCCCGTGAGCCTCCACTGTAAGGCCCTCTAGCCGCTCTGGGACAGGCACCCTGAGCAACAGCAGCCATCAGGTGGCTGAGTGGACTTGGCTGGGGCCAAGAAAGCTTTACTTACAACAAGTGGGGGCTGGCTCTGGCCCACCTCGCTCTACACCAGTGCTGTGCACACCTGAGGTGTGAAGCCAGGCACAGTGGCACACACCTGTAATACCAGCACTCTGGGAAGCTGAGGCAAGACGATCTCAAGTGAGGGGCCAGGCTGGGCAACTTAGCGACTTGGTGGGACTGACTAAAAATAAATAAAAGGGGTGGCAGAGACTGGGGACACAGCGCCGTGCCAAGGCCCCAGGGTCCATCCCCAGTACTCCAAAAAAGGTGCCCAGATTCCCACTCAGGGCTCTGGGCCAGGCCCGGAACTGCATTTCCAACACCTCCCAGGCAGCTGCTGTGCATAAAGCACCCGGGACCTCGGCCCTGGGGGCCTGGGCGCCTCCAGCCCTGAGCAGAACCAGGACCCAGACCCCAGCACCCTGTGCCCCACAGGGAGCCAAAGTGCTCTCCAGCCGATGGTCCCCGCCAGGCCGAGCCAGGCAGCGTGCCAGGCTGGTCGGGAGCCCCCCAGCCACACTGAGAGTCTGCGGAAAACCAACAGGATCCATGCTCAGCCAGGCCCTCAGCGCAGCCCCTGGGGAAGATGCTTCCGGAAAACAACGTTAAGAAGAATGGAGGCCTGCCAAGCACAGCAAGCACCCAACCACGCTGCCGCCTCCTCTTGCGACTTGGAGCCACTCCAATTCCCCAGGACCCCTGGTGTCCTCTCTGCTTTACAGATGGGAACACAGAGACAGAGAGGTTCAGGAGCTCAGCCAGGCCACACAGCATTTCTCAGCTAGACCCTAAAGCCCACTGCTCCACCTCCCACCCAGGCCCAGAGCCTGGCAGGTCCGACATCCAGGACCCCGTGACATCCTCACGCTGGGCTGGGCAGGGGCCATGCAGAAGGGGGCAGGAAAGTGGTGGGCTGCCCACACGGCAGGGCCCCTGCAGCCCCACACGGGGAGGGGCCCACGGGGGGGTCCTCAGGCCCCTCCTTACAAATGTCACAGGCCAGGGGTACGCCTGGCCCAGGATACAGTGCTTGCTGGGCATGTGGGAGGCCTGGGGTTCATCCCCAGCAGCAAAAAAAAAAACATAATAAGAACATTCCAGGCCGGGTGTGGCAGCACGTGCCTGTACTCCTACCACTTAGGGGCTGGGGCAGGAGGATCGCTGTAAATTTGAGGCCCGCCTGGGCTACATAGTGAGACCCTGTCTCAAAAACGCAAAGAGAGGGGCCGGGGATTTATTTAGCTCAGTGGTTCCGCCACCAGCCCCACAAGCACAAGGTCCCGAGTTCGATCCCTGATACCAAAAGAAAAAGCAAAGAGATAAAATTTCTAGTATCCAGTCAGCCCAACCGTGACCCAGTTCTATTCATTCATCCATCCATTCATTCATTCAACAAACACCCTTCTCAGCATCTACCAAGGGCCCAGGGCCCCGGCTCAGAAGTCCCCCACGGTCTTTCCTCATGCCACCCCCCCACGCGACCCCAGGTCCAGAGCCACGGCAGCCCTCCCTCACGCCTGGCCCCAGCCCCAAATGTCACCATCTGTCCCTCTGGGGACCTGGAGACAGAGGCTGCCACCTCCGCAGCACATCAGCGGCACCTGCGAGACAGAGGTGTGCAGGCGCCAGCTCAGGAGCAACTGGAGTCTGCAGGAATCTCGAAGGCCAGCGGCAGACAAAGCTGTCCTCAAACGCCACTGCCAGCGATCACAACCAAGACACGGCTGTCGCCCGGAGTTGTGTCCCTGAGGGGCCTGGCACCATCCAGCCCACACAGTCCCCCTGCCCGGGGGGCTGGGCATCCACAGCCTCCTCTTCATTTATTTTCTTCAGTGCCGGGGCTGAGACCCAGGCCCTCGCACACACCAGGTCCGCAGCCTGTGGCTCAGCGGCACCCTTGGGCCCAAAGCTCGTTTCAGATGCTCAACAGGACCCTGTCCTGGAACCCAGAACACAATCCCTGGTCCTCACTGCCCTAGGCTGGTATGGCCGGGCCCCTTCCCCCTGGGCCCCTGGGAGAGGCCTCAGGGCCTTCGTATGTGCGGTGCCCTTGGATGGGGCAGTTGCTCTTCCTCCACCTGTTCCTTCTCATCAGTGACTCAGCTGGAGCCCGACACCTCCCCAGAGCCGCCCTGACCTCCCCGTGCGCAGTGGGTGCCAGTGTGTGTCTTGCTCCCTGGGAATCATCTTGATGATGTCCCTGCAAGAGGGCCACCAAGGTCCCCAGAAAGCTGCGGTCCCTGGGGCCCTCTGTGAGTCCCAGCCTGTGCCTGACCCAGAAACTCCCGGCTAAGCCCCACCCACCTCTGACCCTGGGGTCTGGGGGTCCTACCCACCTGGGTGGCATGGGGGGTGGCTCGCTGTGCCACATGAAGGCCACGTGCCCTGGCCACTGGCCACCCAGCTCCCCGCATCCCAGGCACAGTGCTCCCTGACCCGTTCCAGCTGTCCCTCCACAGGTCCCCTGCACAGCCTGGACCCACAGCCCCCTCGGCCACCCAGTGGCTTCCAGGCAAGGTGTGGCCAGGCGCTGGGAGCCACCGACCCTGGGTGCTGTCCCTCCCGCAGACGGGCTCAGCCACTGGCCACTGTCACATGGCTCCCTGTGGGCTGCAGACTCCGACCCCACATGGCCAGAGGCTCCGCGGCAGAGCGGGGGACGTGGACAGGGGGTAGGAGAGGCCCTCAGACCACAGGCTCTGTCCCCCAGTAGGGGCCTCAGTGGCTGCCCAGCTCCCCGCCCAGCCTCCGCTGTCAGGGCTCACATGGCTTCTCCCGTGGGGGTCACCGCCGAAGGCCACAGCACCCAGCACTCAGCTGGCCCCACATAGCCGTGGCTCACCCCAGGTGGACGCACCTGGCACCCCTCGGCCAGGTCACATTGGGGACAGGTTCAGATGGGAGCGGCTTCCTCAGCATGCGGGCTCCCAAGCCCATGTCTGGGCCTGTACCTCCCTCCGTCCTAACAAACAAGCTCCAGGGAGCACAGCAGACCTGACCAAGCACTGTGGTGGAAGCAGACCTGACCCACAGGCAGCGCAGGGTGGGCGCCAGGCAGGGACCCAGAGCAGGCCAAGCCCTCTGGAGGCAGAGCCAAGGGGGCCTGGAGACACCTACGTCCCACAGCCAGCGCTGTCCCTCCAGGGTGCTACAGCCACCCTGCCACCTCCGGGGCTGCAAGCCACCACCACAAAAAAACGACCAAGCAGGCCACCAGGAGGGGCCAGCAGGGCCGGGAGGGCTGGCCACAAGGCCTGGGCCCGTGTGCACCTCAGAGGGAATGGCTGGGGCCCTGAGACTGCTCCAGAAGGGTTGCAAGTCCAAAGCCTGCACGTAAGGCAGAGCTCTGCAGATGGGCAGATGCAGGGGCTGCCCAGTGGCAGGGACAGGCCGGCCGCCCTGGGGGGACAGTCCTGACCTTGGCCATCAGCCCTTGGCACCCACTCAGCTCAGGGTGGGTGGGGACCCCAGGAAAAGGCAGCCAGGGCATCAGTGAGGATGCCCTACTCTGCAGCCACATCAGCCTGGAGCCCAGGAGACCAAGCCTGATGCAGTGACGTGCACGGCGGATGTCCCCATGGGGTCACCTCTCACGGGCAGCACAGCACCCCGTCCCAGGAGCCACAGAGCCCACTCCTCAGCACCCCCTCGGTCCACCCAGGCAGGTAGGGGAACTAGGACGGCACACTCTGTCCCCACCCAGCACCTCAAACCTAGGCTGAGTGCCCCCTACAGTGTCGGGCGGTGAAGAGGGAACGCCCAGCCTTGCTGCCCTGAACTGAAGGCCACAGCTGCTTTCCCCTGTGAAGGCAGAGTTTACCGCTGCAGCACACAGCAGGCGCTCAATGCATGCACACTCTGTGCAAGCAACAGACGCCCAGGCGCCGGGCTCCAGGGGAGTGGCATCTGCCCGGCACAGCAGCCACTCATGCCATCCTCAGCAGCAGCATGAGAACCACAGCAGCCTCTGCGACTGCCGGCCACCCAGGAAGGGGAGGCACCACGAGGGTGTCAGAGCAAGAGAGGCCGAGAGGAGATGGACCAGAGACACAGACAGACAGACACGCACAGCTGCTGGAACCCGGGAGTCGGGCACGTGCACAACCAGGGATGGGGACATTCCCAAGCAGGGCAGGGACAGACGCAGGAGTGGGGCCCGGATGGTAAGCCCCACCCGCCCTGCGGCAGCCAGCACCTCACCGCTCGGCCCCCCATCAGGGTGTCCCCAGGGCAAGGGCCGAGCCTGGCACCCCCCAGCCTGCTGCAGTGCCAGCACCTGCTCCCAGGTCACGCTGGACCCAGTGTCCCCCATGTAGGCTCAGCCCTCACTGGCTGAGAAAAGCCCCCCAAAACTGGGGGCCCAGGAGTGGAGAAGACAGAGGCCCCCGGCGCTGGTGCCCACCACGGGGACGAGCCCAGTCACCCACCTTCCTGGGGCCTCCAGGGAGCACAAGGTCAGGTCCCGGCCAGCGGGTGTGGCTGCACTGTTTTCCCAAAAGCGGAGAGAAGTGGCCAGGTGACAGGCAGCTGCGGGAGGGCGGGCGGGCCATGTGCTCATGGCCCCAGGCTGCCAGGGGTGGGCTGAGGGTCAGTTGAAGAGGAGGGGACCCAGGGTCAGCACCCAGGATCAGCCACCCTGGACACCCACCCCCAGGGTCCTGGCCACCGGTAGGTGGTCACCTGCGACTGTCCACACGCAGGGTCTTCATTCCAGCATAGCCCCTTAGGGTTAGGGTAGGGCAATTGGCTAGCTTGCCCTCAACTGCCTCCCTTCTAGTCTTCCTGATGATGCCCTAGAAGTCTCGTTTAGAGTAAAAGGGACTGATTTTTAAATCTTGGCTAAAACTTTTTAAAAACAAACCCCAAACGCTGTACAGTTCAATTGACCCACATTTGCCACTGAAATTTGTCCCCAGCCGCCAGTATGAGGGCTCCTAGGCAGATTTAGCAAGGCTGGGGGACAGGGGCTGGGTGGTTTGTGACACAGACAGGCCAGGTCAGCTGGGGGTGCTGGGGAGCCCCAGAAGTGTGACGGCCAAGAAGAAGCGGGCTCCCTTGGCCCGGAGCCGTGGGGCTTCTCAGTGAGGTTCTTCCCAGCTCGAGGCAGCGTCCGGGCCTGGCGGTCGGCAAGGAGCCTGAGGCCTGTCTGTCCATCTCTCTGTGCGTCTGTCTGCAGCAGGAGACTGGGTGCCCCGGGGCTCTGCCCTCACTGATCCGCCAGGGCTGCAGGGCACTGAACACCTGCCCCAGCAGCGTGCAGATCCGTCCTCCAGGCCCACATCGGCTCCGTGCCAGGTACCAGGCTGGCCTGCTGCCCTGGCCACCGCACAGGCCCAGAGGGCGAATGTGGCCAAACGGGGTGCTGCGCGGGTCAGCGAGGGCAGACCCAGGCCTGGGCCCTTGAGTCCACCCGAGGAGGGGCTGCATCTACTCGGCCCTCGCCCGGGGACAGAAGCCAAGTGCCACCTCTGTCTCCGTGGGGTAAAGAGCCACCCCTCCTGACCCGCCCCAAACGTGCAGAACAAAGAGGCTCCGGTGCTTCCTCCAGCAGGCTCGGCCACCTCCTCCCACTCCGAGCCCCGCAGAGCTGTGGGTCCTCCCTCCCGCTGTCCCAGCCAGCCACCCATGGCCCTGCTGGGAGCCCACCTCAGTGCCCACGCAGGTGGCAGGGGAAGGCTGGCCAGCGCACCAGCACCTGGCAGGCCCCAGCGCCTCTGCAGCCACCACAGTCCCAGGCCCTGCCTGCCCCACCTCAGCGCACCTCAGTTCCCCGCCTGGCACTGGCGTGCCCGTCCACCTCTGGCCCAGAAGAGCCCCCAGTGCCACAGCCAAATCTCCGCATCACCCTGGTCGCCCCTCCCAGCTTGGGCCACCCTGGGCATCCGTCAGCAGGGAAGCCCCAGCCGCAAACCAAAGTGGCTGCCCTCTCGCATCTGCAAGGGCAAGGAGTGGGCCTCGGTCCCGGGCAATTTGCCAGGACGCTCAGAAAGCGGCCAGGGCTGGTTTAGCTCTGTCGACAAATGGCAACCATCACTGACCCCCAAACCTTCGCAATCATTCACAGCATGCTTTCAAACCAACTTCTTTCCCCTCTGACGCAGAAGCCTGCCAGTGTTTCCCATAAAGGGCCTGAGTATTTTAGGCTCCTTGGGCCACAGAGCTCCTGTAACAACGGCTGTGAAACACACAACTGTCATGGTCCTGTGTACCAGAATGACTGTGGCTGTGTTCCAATAAAACTTTATTCGCAAGAACAGGCAGGGGGCTGGCCTGAGCCTGTGAGCTCAGAGCTGCCCTCCCGCACTCAGCTCCCGGTCCCAACTCTGCCACTGGCATCTGGAAAGCAGCAACTCCAAGTTCTGTCTATTTTTTTTCCTCTCAGAGAACCATGAAAACAAACACAAAGCTATTAAAATTTAAAACCCACAGAGCTTGTGGGCCCCTCCCCCCAAGCACTGTCCCGAGAAGCCCTTGCTTCAGGAATGCAGCCTCCTCTTAACACAGCAAGCACTGCGCCCTGGACCAGGGGTCCGGGAGCCCCCAGGCTGAGGATGGAAGTGACTCTGCCCCCAGCTCTGTTCCACAGCTGGCCGGGCCTCGCAGGACAAGCATCCCACAGGGTCTCCCCAGGCAGCCACCATCCCAGCCCTCACCTGGCTCTTGCCGCGTCGCCGGTAGCTCCTCCTCACCAGGCTCTTATAGTTCTCATTCTTCTTGGTCAGGTAGTAGTAGAGGACGCACTCTGCCACCGTCTGCGGGGACAGAGAGAACACTGAGGTGCGGGCATTTGAAGCAGGAGCCAGAGGCCTGGGCTCAAATCCCAGCTCCTCGATAGATCAACCAGGTGACCCAGCGCCTGTGACCTAACCTCTCCGCACCTCGGTCTTCTGATCTGTAAGATGGGTATGCAACACCCACGCCTCCCAGAACTGTCATGAAGATCGGAGAAGGTATCACTAGGAGGCACGAGAGATGGGCTGAGAAGCATTAGCTGGTAATACTAGGACCGCCGTTGTTACTGTTAGCGGTAACAATGGCTTTTCCTCAAGCCACCGCAGCTCAGTGGAAAACAGGGCCCGTGGCACAGGCGACACACTCAGAGCCTGCCTGGGCCCACTCGAGGACTCTTCCTCTAGCTTCAGCCTCCCTCCCTGTCACCCAGAGTCCCGAGCAACCTTGTCCAGGATTCAAGCACTGGGGACTTGGGTCCCCATATCCCACTCAAGCCTTCCTTCTTCCTCCACCTTGACTTCCCCACATGGACCTGGCAGCCCAGGGTCCACGCAAGCCCAGTGAGGGGCGCCCTCAGGACACAGGCTCACCACTGCGGCTGCTCCCGAGACGCCAGGACCCCGCTGCAGAGCGGACAGAAGTGGGCTAGACCCCAGCTTCCCCAAGCAAAGAACCACTAGCAGGCTGCCTCCTGGAACGGGCCACAAACTCAGGTCCTCCCGGGAGGCCACCAGTCCAACCTGGGAGATTTTCTTTTCTTTCACGGTACTAAGAACTGAACCAAGGGCCTCTGCACTGAGCTACATCCCCAGCCCTTAGTTTGAGAGCCTTACTCAGTTGCCTAGGGTTCAAATTCAGAATCTTCCTTCCTCAGCCTCCCAGAGTGCTGGGATTACAGACATGGCCCCGCACACCTGGCAGAACAGGGTTTTTTTCGGTACCGGGGTGAAATTCAGAACCTTGGGCTTGCAAGGCAAGCACGGTGCCCCTGAGCTACATCCTCGGCCCCAGGAGAACAGTTTTTAATCCAAAGCCCACACATAACGCGTGCCGACCGGCCCGGTGGGCGTTCTGACCCGTGTGATACAGGCGAGCTCGCCTCAGGCCGAGGTGACAGGGCAGGGTGCCCTCACTCACGTCAGGACACTCTCGGTCAGTTTCCCAGGGCAGCTGAGCCTCAGATGCCATGACACCCACTCTGCACCCCAAGACCACGTCCCGACTCCCCTCGGCCTTGCTCAATCCCCGTCTGACCTGTGCTGCCTCCGCCCCAGAGCTCCCGCTGGCGTCTGCCAGCCGTCCACACCCTCGGCGTCCACAGTCGCCGACTCAGAGGAAGCTATTTATAGGGCGTCTCTGCCACACTGGTTTTTCAGGCACAAAGCTGTCCCCGACCTGTCCCGCCCACCTCCTCGGAGGTCATCAGCCCATCAAGGGCAGATGGACGACTGTCACCCTCTGAACCAATGCCCGAATGGCCACACGGGGACCTCTCTGCGGCTCCCGTCCTGCTGCACCCCACAGGGCTGGGGATTTCGGGCAGATGCCCAGCCCTGCGGGGCAGAGAGCTGGCCACTGTGGGGACACTCAGGTCTCTGATCATGAGAGCTGAAGGGCAGTGGCTCCCAGCCCAGGTTCCAAGGACATCATGAGCCTCGGTGTCAGCTCCATCGGCGGTCTGTGCAAAGCAGACTGGCCTGACAGCCTGCGGAGGCCACAGCCCTGCGCCCTGGAAGTTGGCCACGCCTGCCTATTCGGTCCCCAGCTTCCCAGGATGCTCAGTGCCTCCTCTGAGGGGCTGGCGGGGAGCCAGGCACAGGGGCTCCAGGGACACAGGCCGTGCGGCACCCCAGGCCCCCAGCGGTGTCTGCTCCTCCTGCTCCTCCTGTCTGCGCCAGGCCAGACGGGGCCTGCGCTGCGCATCCCCGGGGGAGGCGGGGCGGGGGCGGGTAACAGGGGCCGCAGGCACGAGAAGGTAGCCCACAGGCCCAAGGGTGAGGCGTGGAGGGGACACGGAGCAGCCGCCAGACTCACCTTCCTCTCCAGGAATGAGGCGATCAGGCCGAAGTTCTTGGGGTGCTGCATGAACCTGTGGGAGGAAGGGGTGTGAGGCCCATGAGCACTCAGGCGCCTGCTGTGTCCAGCGCCTGGCTTGGCGGGCACTGCCCCGCTCGGGTGCGAGGAAGCCGGGGGGCGGGAAGGGTGGGGACAGGCCAGAGGCTGCCTCAGCTGAGTCACCAGCTGGAGCCTTTGAAAGACATTTGCTGTCCTGCTCGAGGCAGCTTCCAGGGAAAACGAGGATGCTGCATGGAGCCCTTGGTGGGCGCCTGGTGAAACCTGCTCTGGTTCTCTCCCTAGCTGGGTCTGGGGCGCCGGGCCTGCCTGGCCTGCAGGAGCCTGCTCTGGATGAGGTCGAGGCACTGGTCTGGGCCTCCCTAAGACGGGGGTGGGGCATGGAACCCGCAGGCAGGAGGAGCCTGGCCAGCAGGGGGTGGCAAGCACGGACGGGAGCTGGGGATGGCACTGGGCCACTACTTCCTGCGGAGCTGGGACAATCATCAAGAATGAGCTGTGCAAGGCTGAACCGGCAGAGCCAGGAGCAGGGCCAGGAGCAGGGCCAGGGCTCGCAGGGGAGGGGATGTGGGCCAAGGCCGACCCCAGCACGAGGCTGGGGAGGGGCCGCTGGGCCTGACACCAGGGTCCCCAAGACTGGACACCAGCCCACGGGCTTTCGGGGACAAAGAAGCAGCAGCAGCTACCCGTGGGTCGGGCACAGCTTCCACCAGAGAGCAGGCCAGGGCGGGCTCCAAATGCTGCCCCGAGGTGGCCCGGCAGGAGGCCAATGGCCTGCCTACACCTGGCCAGACACCCAGGGATCTAGGGCGGCCTGGTCTCTTCCTGGAGAAAGCGTCAGGGACAAGGTGGCAGCGTCTCTGGCCCGGCGTCCTGCCCGCCTTAGGCTGCCACAGAGCTGGGGGAGCTCAGAACCTTCTTCCCAGGTGAAGGGGCGGCCCAGACACTGGGCTCTCGTCCCTCAGTGGACACTGGGCCCTGCTAGAGGAGCACGGTGCCCTCTGGGCCAACAGGGAGGCCCTAACTGTGCCTCGATTTCCCCGTCCTCGGGTTGCTGGGTCCCCCGGGATGACAGATCAGCCTGTGGGACCCCCAGGCCCACGCCATGCCATGGCCCCCACTGCGGAGCATGGTCCAACTTAGAGTCTTCTGGGGGGACAAGGTCTTTTTCCATCCCGAGTGCCACACGCTTCTCCCCAAAACAGTTGCTCTGGGGTCCCCCAGGCTCCGCCCAGAACCCAGCTCCTGCTTCCGCTCGCCAAAGCCCCCGGCTCTGCCCGCTCTGTGCTCTCTGCACCCTTAACCTCTCTGTACCTGTGTCTCGTGGCCCGTGGGACAGGGGTGGCTTGGCTGGGCTGCTGTGAGGGGCAAGAGGGACAGAGGCACCACCTGGAGATGGCCCAGCCCTGGGTCCGAGGACCTGCTCAACAAACAGCGGCTCTGAGACAAAGGTGAGCCGGGGCCAGGGTGCAGCTCGGCCAGGGTGCTCGCCTGGCACACAGAAAACAGGGCCTGTGTCCCCCGCAACTCCCGCCCTGTCGCTGACACACAGCACCCCTTTCACCCCAGGGACTGGGCTGAACGGCGTCCACGGGACCTCAGAATGAGACCCCAACACGGCTGGCGTCCTTGTAAGAGGGGACACAGGGACACCCAGGGAAGGACCGGGCAACGGCCGGCCAGGCCCCGGGAGCCCTGCAGGGAGGCCGCACCCCACCAGGCGGACTCACTTCTCCCGGAAGGTCTCCCTCTCCTGCTCACTCCACATGTTCATGACCTGGCGGTCCTTGTACACCTTCATAGGGTCGTCCATGAGCCCGTTCATGTTGATGAACTTGATGCGCTGCTGGTCAGCGTCGTAGAGCATGGGTGGGATCACAGCCAGCTGCCGCATCTGCTTCTCCAGGTTCTGCGGGCACAGCAGGGTGGGGCGGGGCTTGGCGGGTGGGAGAGGCCAGGCGGGGGAGCACTGGGGGTGCGAGGAGCACCCAGGACCCAGGGGAGGACACAGGGCAGAGGGTCAAAGGGAAGGCAGAGGAGGAGCTTTGGTCCCGGGGCTGGGGCCAGGGAGGGAGGACGGTAGGGCAGTGACAGGTCCAGGAGGGAGGGCTGAAAATTGGCCCCTATCTGCCGCAGGAGCCATGAGTGTCCCCTTCGGAAAGCGAGCACCATGAAGCACAGCAGGGAGAGCAGGCTGAGCCGGGGTTCAGGAGCCCGGGGACACAGGAGAAGGGAGCAGCCCTGGGCCAAGCAGAGGGCTCAGTCGTAGCCTGGGACACTGCAGGACCACTTCCTGCCACCGCAGCCCAAGCACCAGCTCCACTGATCTGCCCGCTGGGCCCCAGCTCCCTCCCGAGTCAGGATGACCCTGGGGAGGCGCTGAGTCGCTGGGTCTCTGCGATCGGCCAATTAGTGGTGATTAATGACCCGCTCTGGAGGCAGCCAGGGCTCCCAGGCAGCCAAGGGCAGCCCGGTCAGACAATCCTGCAGCCCAGCCGCCCACACCCCAACCTTCTGGCTCAGCACGAAGGCCCCCAGCCACAGAGCAGAGGGGGGCGTCCCTGCTCTGACCGGTGCGGGGCGCAGGGCATGGGGAGCCTAGTGTGTGGCCTCTGACCCCTCTCCAGGGGCTGCCCTCCCAGCCCTTCCAGGGCACATGCTCTGGCTGCTGAGCCCCTAAGGGCTGACAGTGACTGTCCCCTGCCAGTCCCTCCTCACGCTCTAGGGACCTCCAGTCCCACTTGGGGTCTCCCAGGTGAGGCCGAGGGTGGCATCAGGAGTGAGCACTGGCTGGGAGGATGCCTGGTCGAGAGCAGGGACCCCAGCTGCCCTGTCCCGCACACCCTGCCCCAAGGAGAGACAGTTTTCCTGGATTTCATTTTGATCAATTTCAATGTCAACAGCTGCAGGGAGCTCAGCTGGACTAGGCCAGAGCCACAAGACCCTCGCATGTGAACAGTCCCTGGGGAGGAAGCACCACACGCCTGTGTGCATGGCTTCCTGTGGCCACCGGGGTGTTGGGCACAGGGGACCAATGTCACACTGGGCACCTGACCCACAAGACCGGGAGGGGACGGGTGCAGGGCAGCTCCTTCTCAGACAGCTGCTTCTCTGCTTCCTGGCTATCTCTGGGCGCCTTGGCTGGCCCCCCAGGTGTCCCAGTGCCCCAGGCAGGGCCATGGCTAGGCTGGAGCCTGGAATCAGGCCCCAGTAAGGGGTCCTGGGCAGCTGTCAATCACTGTATCCCAGCCCCTCCCACCTGTAGGCACTGGCTGGACTCAGCCAATGGGAAGCACCAAAGAGTTGAGGAGGTGGAGCCCGAGGTGAGGCTGACCCCGGCATGGGCAGCAGGCAGGTCAGGGGCTTCCAGGGCTGCATCCTCCAAGCCCTGGGGTGAATCCAGTTTCCCTCCTGACTGCAGCCAGGACAGCACCAGACAGGACCGGACAAGACGCAGGTGAAGGGGATGCGGCTGAAGCCGGCAGGCCTCACCTCCTGCTCCGAGAGGCCGTCGATGATCTCCGACACCTCGTGCTCGCTGCGGGCGGCCGACATGGAGAGCCCGCTGCCCCGCTGCCCCACCCTGCTGGGGACCGAAGGGACACACTCAGGACCGGCCCTCGCCAGCAAGAAGGCCGGGTCAAAGCCTGGCACCCACCACAGAACTGAGCTCCCGACCCAGCTCGGCCTCCTCACTGGAGTGTTTCAATGCCTCAGTTTCCTCCTCGTAACACCCACTGGGCCTGGTGGCCCACAGCTGTGAGCCCAGCTAGCCAGGAGGCTGAGGCAGGAGGGTCTCCGGCTCAGGCCCAGGGCTCACCTCTGCATGCGCTCCTGCAGCTCGCGCTGCTTGCGGATCTCCGGGAACTGCTTCTCGTAGTACTCTCGCACCTTGCTCTCCTTGGCGCGGCGACGTGGGTTGCTCTCGATGCGCTCCACCTTCTTCTCCCAGGCCTCCATGAGTTGGTCATAGCGCTGGCAGAACTTCTGCTCCTGAGGGGACGCGGGCCGCACTGAGGGGCTTGGGCACCGAGCCAGCCTCCCTGCCTGTCCCCAGAGTGCGCACGGTCACATACCGGGCCAAGTGCTCGGACAGGACAGGACAGGACAGGACACACGGCCACACACAGACCAAGGCCCTGGGCCCAGGAAGACGTCACGCTCCCCGGGATGAGGCCCTCCCTCCCGTGAGCTGGCCGCCCAGTGCTGGCTCCGCCAGGGGCCCCGTCCAGGAAGAAGCCCCCGACTGCCACATGGAATCAAGAATCCAAATCGGGGCCTCAGCCCCTGACTGGCCGCACTTCCACTTCTGCCCTCGCTCAGGGCAAGAAAGCCCCCACCTGTCTGGCTGCCACGTGGGCTGGCGCCCGGGGCCCTGTCACCCCAGCTCCGGCAGCCAGGGGAGGGCCGGGGACAAGGTCTCAGGGACGCGCTCCCGGTGCCGCCTGGTGCCAATCAGAAAGCCCCTCGTGGGTCCTTGGGCCCAGATGCCCCCATCCTGCACGTCAGCTGCTTCTCTTGGCTTTGTGGGGCTGGGGACCGAGCCCGGGCCTTGTGCGAGCACTGGGCCACCCCCTGGGCACCTTGGCTCCTGAGCAAGGGCAGCCACCGCATGGGGGCATTGGATCAGAGGTCTAGTGACACCCCAGCCAGCTGAGATGGCTTGGGCAGGCTGCAAAGCCACCTGGGTTCTTGAGAGAGACACAGGGTCTGCACCGCCCCCCTATCTCTCATGTGCCAACTTCCTGCCGGACCTCTAGGGGCCTTTTTAATTAATTAGTTTTTGTTTATTTTATGTTCTGCAACACTAGAGATTGAACCCAGGGCCTTTGCACTGAGCCCCGTCCCCAGCCCTTTCTTGTTATTTTGAGAGGGAGCCTCATTCAGTTGTCCAGGCTGGGCTTGGACTTGCGACCCTCCTGCCTCAGCCTCCCAGAGTGCAGTGACTTGAGGTGTGCACCACCACACCCAGCTTCGGCTGTTAAGAACTCAAACCCTCACCCCCCACCTGCACCGGCCCCTGGCTCTGTCTAGCAGCCACAAGGAACTGTGAATCACATCCCTCCTCCCCAACCCTAGCGACCCTCAGCCCCACAGGGACGCTGGGGGCAGGTGAAGGGCTGAGGCGGGAAGATCCGCTCGTGAGTGCCAGGTGCAACATAAGCAGATAGGCAGCAGACGCCTGCCCCCACCCCGAACAGGGCCCCAGGGTGACTGGCTCCAGCTGGGATGTGTGGCGCACTTCTGCCTGAACTCAGAGACTGCGCACTTGATGGAGAATCAATACATCTCACTGTGCTGAGAATAAAATCTAAATGTGCCATCCCCGAGAGGCCCAGCGTCCCTGGGTGACCCAATGTGTGGCTCCATGCCAACCACCGCCAGCCCCTGGCATGGCCCCAGTTGCCACCAGCGCCCCTGCTGCGCCCAACCTGGAGCCCCAGCACACGCCTGCCTTCGGCCTGATGCTGCTCCCAGATATGGTCAGCTCAGCCTCCCTGGTCAACAACCCACCAAGCGCCCTCCCTTGGCAGCCTGCAAACACCCAGTCTCCTTTCTCTGCCCCAGCCCAGGGCGGAACCTGCTCCCACACTCAGGAGGCCAGCAGCCTGGGCTCAACCCCTCCCCACTGTGGCAGGGGACAGGCCACTCCAACACTCTGAGCCTCGGTTTCCCCTTTGCGGCATGGGGCCGGGGGTTTGCCTGGACCTGGGCTCTGTGTACCCATTAGGCGCTCAGTGGCTGCTTCTCTCAGCTGATGCTGCTGTGCCTGCCCACTGTGCAGTCAGCATCACATTTCATTTCAGGCCGCACTGAGTTGGCACCGACTGTGTACCGCAGACCCGCACGTGCCGGCAGGGCTGACCCAACCCCGGGGGCCCGATCCTGGGAAGGAAGCAGGGCCCGAGGGCAGGAGGGCTGGGGTGCAGGGACAGGGGACGTCCGGGGTCCCCCGAGCCTCGCCCCACCCCTCCGCCCCCAGCGGCCTCGTGGCTCTGCTGGACTCTGACACTGCTACGTTAGTGTCCCAGCCTGCAGAGGTGAAAACCACTCAGAAACCAGGGCCTGAGTCCACCCGCGACTTCTCCAGTGCCCCAGGCCCTCTCCGCTCAGCTCAGCCCTGGGAATCCGCTCCTCCCCACCTGCAGCCGAGGGTCACTGGGTCACCCCCTGCATCCTGCAGCCCATCCCTCCATGAGCACTGATGCTGTGCCTGACCCGCCCTCCTGCCTGGGTGGAGACGCTGGCGTGCGTGGGCCTTCTGTTTTGACACAGCCACTGCCAACCCCATGGACAGGGGAAGGACAAGAGGGTGCGACCCAAGCCCACCTGCCGCTTCGGGCTGGAAGGGGAGGGCACACGGGGCCTCTGCAATGACAACCCCTCTCCCACCTCTCTCTCTCCTGGCTCTGCTCCCCATCCTGCTCCCGCTCCCAGAGACTCACCCATTGCTTTCGCGCGTGGTTCCTCCGCTTGAAGTACAGGATCAGCTTCTTGCGCATGGCCTGGTTTCTGGGGAATGTAGGACAGGGGTCAGCTCTGTCCCTGTTGCCCTGGCCCGGGCAGGCACTCCAGGCCCACTCCTAGGAAGACCACTGTGGCCCCAAAGCGACCCACGTCCTGCCCACGTGCATCTGCCGCCCCCAGAAGGCTGGACGCATCCGGGACAAAGGCCCAGACCCTGGGCTCCACAGCCTGGCCTGGTTCCCGGGGCACCCTGTCCTGCAGGCAGGAGACAGCTGGGTGGCACCAGGGCTGCCGCCAAGGGGACACAGGTGTTTGGAGGGGAGAAGGACAGGGACATGGGGCAGACAGAGACAGGAAGATAGAGACCAGAGAGACGCAGCGACAGAGCCAAAGGGGAGAGATTCGACCCCGCAGGACAGGGACCGGGATGGAGGGGTCAACAGGAGAGCTGGGGCCAAGCAAGGGGGACAGCGGCCCGGACAGAGTGGGGCTGGGGGAGATGCAGTGGGAGGGTGCAGGGGACAGAAGGGCGAAGGGCGATGTGGAGAAGGGAACAGGGTCCTGGGCCGGGGCAGGGACTGCGCAGGGCAGACTCGGGGCCAGAGGGCAGGCTGGCCTCAGGGCCACCGCACCCCGAACTCGCCTGCTTTCCTGCCGCCCACAGCTCACAGGGTTCAAACCCACAGAAGCTCAGCAGCCACCGACTGGCGCTACAGCCACGCCGGCCCAGGAGGCTTCCTGCCCACAGCCCAGGACCCCAGTGTTGGGGACGGGAAAGGGAGCCCCAGGCACCGGAGGGGGGATCCAGCGCCCCTCCCCAACAATGCTCAATCTGAGCTCATCTCAGATGCACCCTGACTCAGTTTCCCTATCTGTACAATGGAAACAAAGACATCGGGCACCCGTCTCTGTCAATGGCAACCATTCCTTGGGCACCAACCACACAGGGCACATGGGGGTCAGGACAGGCACAGGGCCAGGCCCCCGCAGAGGTGTTACAGTGACGATAACCAGGACGAGGCAGTTCTGTTCCGGATCCATAGTCAACCAGGGGGGTGGCAAGCGTGACCAGGGTGGGTGTGCGGCCACCTGAAAGTCCCTGGTACAGGAAGCCCTGGGGGAGCCCGAGCTGAACGCAGACAGCTCAGAAGGACCGAGGTGGGAGCCCGGGGCGGGGGACACAGCAAGTGCAAAGGCCCTGAGGTAGGAGCACACTCGAGGAAAGTGAAGAACAAAAGAAGGCCCAGGTGGCTAGAGGTCCAGGGAGGGCCAGGAGGGACATGGAAGAGGCCAAGCGCCAGGTGGCCAGGCCCAGATGTGTGGGCATTGAAAGCTCCCAGAAAAGGATCTGGGCTTAAAATGGAAGCGACAGACAACCAAGAAGGCCTGGCAGCAAGGATACCTGGCACCAGGGCCACCTGGGACCGGCTTGGTGCCCAGGGACAAGGCCAGGCCTCCCCAGGAGCCCAGGGCCCTGGGAGAATCGGCCCAGGCAGAAAGGACGGAGGGGAGTCAGGATGCAGGCATCGCCAAGCTGGAGCAACCCCAGTGATGGTGACACTCAGGTCACGGGGCCGTCACCAAGTGACTGGGGTCACAGACGTACGGGGAAGACATGGCCTCCTTCCGGGCAGGGCGGCAGCGAAGTCATGGGAGGCTGAGGGGCCCCGGGGAAGTTCACAGGGCAACTCCGCAGCAAAGGAGGAGACAGGCAGGGTCCTCTCCCGGCCTCACCATCCAGCTGCTGGTTTCTTATATTTGTTTTGTTCTTTTTGCACTACTAGGATTGAACCCAGGCCCTTCGCACTGAGCTATACCCCCAGCCCATTTATTTTTTTTGGAAACAAGGTCTCTAAATTGCTAAACTGCCCAGGACGGGCTGGAACTTGCAACCCTCCTGCCTCAGCCTCCCAGAGTGCTGGGGTTTCAGGTGTGCGCCACCACGGCCCACCCATGGTGGGGTTTTTAACAAAGGTCCACACATCCTGCTCCTCCTCCCCCACAAGTAGGCGCCCGACTGTCCCCAGGCCAGGCTGGACTCTGGGACTCGCTTCCAAAAATCACACCACCCAGGGAAATGGCAACAATACAGGGGTGGGGGCTTCTGGCCACCTGGTGACTGCCCAGCCCCGAGGTGCTGCTCCCATGTGAGGGCTTCTCCTCCCCTGAGGTCTCTGCCCCTAACTCGCCATCCGGTCTGGGTTCCATCTCAGGGAGACACCCACCAACCTGCACGGGGGACGTGGGACAAAGTCACCCGCCGTCCTCTCCAGGAGCAGCAGGGCCACAAGGCTGAGGGACAGAGACAGGGAGTCAGGGCCACACGGGAAGCCGGGTCAGATCTTAGACCCAAAGGAGACACTGGGTGGGAACCCGGTGCCACCCCGGACACCCAAGCTGAGCACCATGTGGGCTCCTCTCTCCCTCTGGAGAGCGCCCGGCGGCCTGAGGTTTCTCTGTAACACACGTGCACTTTTCCTGCAAATCCAAGCAACTCCTCAGGCCATCAATCAGCTCCCTGAGAAGCAGTCTTAGCGGGGTGTGTGTGTGTGTGTGTGTGTGTGTGTGTGGACCACTTGAGGGCACAGTAGTGTGACCACCCCGGGTCCCCAGGCGGAAACAGGGATGGACTGCAGGCCAGGAGGCGACAGCAGGGCCAGGCTGGCCATGTGACCCCACCTGGCTCCTGGGGTCTCAGAGAAGGCCAGGCCCTGGTGACAGCTTCCCGCCTACACCCCTCGCAGGCACAGGATGGGGGCATCCAGCTGTGAGAAGGAAAACGGGGACAGGACGGGGCCAGCGGGCCGAGGGGACCGGAGGACTGCAGTGCCTACGGCGAGGAGTCAGGAGCCCACTGGAGAGAGAAGCCGACCCCCCGGAGACAGTGCAGGTGGCAAGGGAGCACAGGTGACCGAGGCACGTCCACCCCCGACTGCCGGGCGGCAGGAAGCTGAGCATGGAATTAGCCGCACCTCGGCGGCCTGGCACGCAGATGCGGACATGACAGTGGCGGGCTGGGTTCCAGGGGCTACCTCCCACCTCGGCCACTCCACTCTCCTCGGCATGCTGGCTTCACACGCCACGTGCTGGCATCGGTCTCCCCTTTGCAATGTCAGGCCACGGTCATGGCCGTTCCCCGAGGCCCAGGCCAGCGCGGAGCAAGGCAGCAAGCGTTTGCTGAATGGAGGACCCCACCCCCAGCCCCCAGCCCCCAGCCCGCACCGAGCACAGACATTTCTGGGCCCGAGGCTCTGTGACCAGGTCCCTGCGCTGCGGAGAGATGCCATCTCCACCTTGTAGGGGGAGGCAGAGGCACTGGGACTTAGTGACCTGAGGCCCTCTCCCTCTGGAGCCTGCAGCACCTGAACAGTGACCAGAACCTGAGGCTGCGCTTGGACTACAAGCTCCCTGGGGCGAAGCTGGCAGCCACTAGGGCTCCCTCCACAGCGGGCGCAGCCAGAAGCAGCAAGGACCTGCCCTCCTTCCCAGGGCCCCTGCACTGCTTCTGCCACTGCCTACAACTCTCTTGCCCTCAGGGCCACATGGCTGGTGGCAGCACAGCCCGAAGGGTCCCCTCTGCTGTCGCAGCCTGCCCCGACTGCTCAGGCCCATCACCTGCCCTCTCCTATCACCTGCTACGATCTTGAAAACTTTTTTTTTAAAGCAAACAAATACACTGTCTTAATAACAACCACAATGAAGCCAAAAGCAGGGACTTAGGTAAAAAACATGAAAAAAACCTTCAAGTTTTAAGCACAGATCCATTGTTGATTTACTTACAGGTGTGCTTCTGAGCGGTTAAGACTGACCTCAGGTAAGAACCCACTCCCACTAGGCACCCCCAGGACCAACCAGCGGGCCTGGCGAGGTGGCCACCAACCGCCCACGCAGACTCGGCGACAACATAGGGCCTCAAACAAAGGAAACCGTGATCCTGCTCCACAACAAGGCGCAGCGGACCTCAACTGCTGCCATTACCTGTGCAGGGGCCCAGTTCCTTCAGGGCTGGGCTAACTTGGTTCTTACTGCAGTTGTCTGCATCATCAGACCTAAAATGCCGCACACTGAGCGATAAAAGCTACGTGAAATTCCTGGCTTCGTAAAGTTGCTGTCAAAAGTCACGTCCAAGATGGACATGGTGGCACCTGTCTGTGACCCCAGCACTCTGGGAGGCTGAGGCTGGAGGGTGGGAAGTTCAAGCCCAGCCTGGCAACCAAGAAACTTAATGAGACTCTGCCTCAAAATGAAACATAGGAAGGGCGGGGGATATCGATCAGGACAAAGGCCCTGGGTTCAATTCCCAGTACCACAAAGAAATGCATAAACGCACACATCAAAAGGAAAACACAATGAGGCTTGGCGAGCGACCCTCATACTTCTGATTAGCTGAGACTTCCTTGGTCATTTAACTCACTTCTTTGCTGCAGGACACAGGCCAAAGCCTAAGGCATGGCCAGGCACCAGCGGAACAGATGAATGAATGAGCACCTGAGTGAGTGGTGAAGCCCCTAGCAGCCTGATGTGGCAGCAAACACCTCCTGCCCCAACCCAGCTGTGGGAAGGCCCGAGCCTAGAGGCTGCAGGGAGGCCAGCTGTTTGCAGGGCACACGTGGTCCCGATGTGGGGACCCAGCACCTTGCGCCAGCCCCGTGGCCACCCCAACACGCTGAGGCCTGCGGTGTGGACTGGGACTCCAGCAAGACACCTGACTGCTCTGAGCCGCTGGGGACAGAGGGTGGCCGGCTGGGACAGGCCCAGACCAGCCACACCAGACCAGAGATGACGACACAGGGGCCAACCCCGGCGGGGCTCAAAAGACATGGAGAGTTCACCTGTCTCCAGGGCTAGGCGCTCAGCGCTACATCCCACCCCACTTGCCACCCCAGCCACACCTGGCCCCACTGAACCCTCCCTCTAGAAGGCCACCCTCTAAAGTCACAGGTGCGCAGCTGACCCCTCTCAGTCACAAACCACAAGCAAGTGGAGACCACCATCCTACAGACACACCTCTGACCTCACTGCCTGCCACACGCACAGCCACCAGGGCAAGGCCGGTGGCCCCTTTTGCCTTTTGGGGTCCCGGATGATGACAGGAAGAAATATCCCCTCCACACCCCAGGAGGCTATGCTCCTGCTAATGTATCCCAAGGAAAAGGCAGGCTTTCCAGCAGTCCCACCTCCTGCTGGAAGATACTCCATGATCTGCCCCCAGCCCAGTCCTGGTACCCCCAAAAGTGCATGGCACCAGACTGGGAAAGTTCCCGTCGTCGGGTCACACTGTGTTGCCCACCTCCAGGCCCCTGGTTTAGAGCTTCTTGCCACCCACATGGGCTGTGCAAAGCACCAGCGACCCCAGGACACACCGGAGCCCACAGGTGGCCCCTTGCCCCGGCAGCCAGCTCCATCTCCAGCTGGGCCCCACCCACCCTCCACATCCCAGTTGGTGCGGGCCGCACGGCACTCACATCTTGATGTTCTCGTGGTACTGCCGGGTGTCCGAGGGCTGGTTGTACAGGGGCTGCAGGGGGAGAGAGATTCGGTGAGCGAGGACCCGGGCCGGCACCCTGCGTGCCCAGCAGCCACGCCCAGGCCCAGCAGGTGCGCAGGAGCAACCGGCCCAGGAGCGCCGCTCCCTGGACACAGAGCCCATGAGCCACTGGAAGGGGTCAGGGCTCACAGCGATCCCGGTCAGCACGAAAACCAGGGCCCCAGTCACAGATGTCCTGGCACCCAGGCCTGCAAGGCCCTGCGTCGTCAGCGCCGGGTGCACAGGCGAGACGCACACAGGCACCAGGGAGACCGAGGTAGCACCCCAGGGAGGACACCATGGCCCCTGCCCGCCCCACAGGTGCCAGAGCCCTGGGCGCTGGGTCCTCACCACACTGGCAGTGAATGTCACCACCAGGAGGATGGGTGCGGGGGACCCAACAGCACAGGGCAGCAGGCAGCCGAGGCCCTGTGCCAGGGCGTCCCTGCCCAGGTGACAGCGCTGTGCTGAGGGACAGCGGCCAAGCCCAGGTTCACAGCCTGGCTCTGCCCCAGTGAGTTACTGAATCCACGTGGGCCTCAGTTTCTCTCTTCTGTAACATGCAGCCGCCCAAGAAGAATCTGCATCCCCACTGTCAGCGGGCACCGAGACCGCTAACAGCAGGGGCTTCCAAGCCTCCCAGGCCCTCCCACGCCCGGGCCGCCACTCCGAGGGGACGGCCGCCAGCGAGGCAGGGTCTGCACTGCTGCACACTCCGTCCTCTCCCGGGCTGACCCTGGGGACTCCTCGGCCGGAGGGACACAGCGAACGGTGGCCACTTCCAGCCGCTCACGGGTGCAACCACCCCATCTTGCAGATGGGGACACCAAGTCTCCAGGAGGCAAAAGCATCTGCTCACAGCTGGTGGAAGACGGGTGAAGCAGATCCTCAGGCCCAGCACAGAGGGAGCATCTCGCTACACCTCCTGCTGTGGCCGGGCACCTTGGACACCTCAAGGGTCCAACTGGGGTCCACACCTCTGCCCACAGCCCTGCTCCACCCCCAGCCACTCCCCTGGGACGAGGAGACCACTTCTGACACCAGGTCTCAGGCTACCACCCAGTGTCCCCAGCCCAGGGCCGAACAGGAAGGGAGGAACAGGCAGGACAAGCAGAGAGCCCGCATCAGTCGCCTCGGAACCGCCCGGGGAGAGCGGGTCAGACACCCCTGGGAAGGAGGCCCATTCCCACCCTGGTCTTTATGTTCCCCATCAGCCAGGAGACCAAAGGCCAGGCGGGGAGGGCCCTCCCCTCATGGCTCAGCTTGGCCCTGACTTACATTCTGCCTCCTTCCTCACCGGCTCCCAGGTTGAGAGCCTGGGGCTCAGTTTCCCCATCTAGAGAATGGACACAGGGCAAGGAGGACCCATTCGCCAGGCTCGAGTGGCCTGGGACACTCCCAACACCATGGCTGGTTTATCTCGGTTTCTCACAGATGACAGGCAGCCTGAGGGCCCACAAGGTCTGAAAGAACCAGCACACAGGCCCAGGGGCACATGACGGGCAGGAGCACAGGGACGTGAGCTGCAGGTGGCAGCAGGGCCCCAGCCAGCCTCTGACCCAACGGGGCTGAGGAGTAGAGCTCCTGGGAAAACTGAGGCAGGAGCACATGAGACCCTGGGAGAGGAGGCGGGGAGCTCCCCGTCACCATGGCAACAGGCCCAGGGGACCATGTTGGAAGGCACAGGAGGGCAGGGTGGGGCATGAACAGGCCCCTGGGGAGCCCCAGAACCCCCTTGTCCTCCACAGAAGCCAATGCCAGGCTGGTGGCTCTGAGGCGACCTCCAGGCCATGGGGACTGGTACTGCCCAGGTCCAGAAGAGGACGGCACGGCCCTGGGGCGGCCCTGCTGTCTCTGCCCTGGCCAACCCTCCATCCCTGCTGCAAGGGGGGCACAGAGCACCGGCACCCAGCTCAACCCAGCTCACAGCGACAGGGGGCTGGGGAGAAGGCGGGGTCCCCTGCGGGCCTGGCTCCGCGCTGCACTGCTACCAGCTGGAGTCACCCCAGCCCTCACCCCACTGGTGACACTGAGTTCTTAGAATAACAGCTCAGAGCAGGAAGGAAGCTGTGACTCACAGCAGCAGCAGCAGAGAGGTCACAGTGGCCTCCCGCCTGCCACCTCCTGCCCTGGGCAGCCTGGTTCCCCAAGGGCTGGGGGACCCACAAGTGGCAGCTGCTGTCACCCCCAAATCCTGGGGCCACCTGCAGCCACTGCCCAGGCACACCTCTACCCAGGGCTGCCCAGAGTGACCCCTGGAACTGGATCCCAACACTGCGACCCACGATGACCAGGCCCCTGGGAAGACACCACTGGCCCCAGGGCTGGGAGAGACAGATGGAGAGGAGGTCTCCTGTGTGTGGCCAGCCGCTCCTTCCCGCTTCACAGACCCTGCCCTGTCCTGCAGTGCGGCCCGGGGCACGGCACTGCCCTCTCGGAGCCTCACCCGGCAAATGGACTGGGGGATGCCTGCGTGACGCCCAGCCAGAGACCAGGCCAACATCAAGGGGACCCTAGCTAACGCCCCTCAGCCCAGCCACCGAGCGCGGCCTCCAGTGCCTCAGCCTGCGCCGCGTTGCCCCTCGGGCCAGACACGGGACGAGGCCCTGTCCCAAAGCCCTGGGACCCAGGGACACCGTCCACGGCTGGCCCGGCCCTGTCCCTGCTTCCCCACCTGCAAGCTCGGGCTTGTGTCCTCCCAGAAGCGGGAAGCAGCACCTCCAACCCTGCCCTCCCCATCTGGCAACAGAGGGAACGCGGCTGGGCGCAGCCGACAGGAGGGCCCTCACGGTGCTGTGGACCGGCAGCTGTGCGGCAGGCAGAGCGGCCTGGGTCTGGGGACACAGGGCTCCCAGTGCCCAGGAAAATCACAGGCAGCGGCTCCGTCGGCACAGTCCCCACTGGGTCCTCCCTAAGTGCTGCACTGAGCCGTCCTCTCGGGGCCCCACGCAGGTCCCCAAGACCCCTGCCCTTTTCCCCAACACCAAACAGAGGGCACGGGGGCAGCCCCTCCCCACGGCCACACGGCAGGCGTCAGCAGAGCAGGCAGCACCAGGCTGGGCAAGGCCGACGCGGTCGTCACCCGGAGCGCAGCACTCAGGCGACAATGCTGTGCCGGACACGCGCCCCCGACCACACAGCCGTCCCACGCTGGCCCTGTCTGCCACCGCACCCACAGCTCCCAGGGGCCCCAGGGGCCAGCAGTGGGGGCCCCGAGGCTCTCCTGGGGCTGTGGCTTCTGCCTCCCGCCCCCAGGCCGGCTCCACAAGGCCAGGTCTGCAGGCACCAGGCTGTGGACCTGGCCCCTTCCGGTCTGCGAGCCAAGACCCACAGCAGCAGTCATGACAGCAGCTTAACGCTACAGGGAGGCTCGGTCCCAGCACTCTGCAAAGCTCAACAGTTTATCCTCACTGTCCCATCCCCAGCAGCGTAACTGGCCCCGCTTCACAGACGGGGCAGCTGCAGCACAGAGTGGTCCAGAGACCTGGCTGGGGTTAGCTGCACAGTGGTCCAGGGGCAGACCTGCAGCCAAGCCGGGTCACCTGGCCCGGAGGATGGGATCTCCACGCCAAGCCGCGGTGAAGCAGCTGGACTCTCTGTGTGCGCGTGTGGCCCCAGGCGCTCACTGCCAGGCGCGCTGCCCTGTGGCCTCCCTCATGGGAGGGTTCGCTTCCTGCCTCCTCACTGAGGCTGCCCGGGCGGCGCTGGGCAGGAGCGACTTCCTCCTCCCCCACCACCCTGTGCCCCCCATGCCCCAGCGGGACTCACCAGCTCCACCTGGGGCCCCAGGCCTTCCAGGATCCGATGGGCTGCCTCTGCCTTCTTCTGTGATGACCAAGAACACACAGACAAGTTAGAAATGGAGAGGCGGACAGCTCCTGGCCTGGCCCACAGCCCACGGCCCTCCCACCCTCCCCTGGCTGCAAAAATCACAGGGGCCTCAGCTCGTCACCGTGGCCCTGATGAGCCCAAGAGGGCAGAGTCCCCGGGTGCCTGGCTCCCCGCCACCCCAGGCTGCCGGGCCAGAGAGGGTGCAGTTCCCTGGGAGCCGGCCCAGCATGTGACAGCTCAGAGCAGCAGGGGGCGAGGGAGAGGAGGAGGAGGAGGTGCAGGCGACAGGAGATGCCCTTTCTGGGATCCCTGGGTTTCACAATCATGTGATTCTTTCCGGCTGCTGCGGCCTCCCCGCCAGCCTCCCCAGGCACAGCCGGGACTTATTGGGAAGACAGCCACGTGCAGTAGAAAGGGATCCCTGCATGCATTCAACAGGCGGGACTCGGCCCCGCTGGAGCCTGACCCATGAAGGCGACACTGTGCTGTCGGCGCCAGCGCCCAGCTGGGGACACCAGGTCTCTTCGGCCAACCAGGCGCACTGGGGCGGGGGCTGCCATGCCTCTGAGGGTGGAGGGGCGAAGGCAGGCAGGGTCAGGCTGAGGATGGCTGCCCAGGTCCTCACCCTGGTGCTGGGCACTGGGCAGACAAGCACACCGCCCATGACACTATCAGCCCCGGCGGGGGCAGGCAGCCCCGATGGTTTCCATCCCAGGAGGTTTCCACCTCACGGAAGCACAGAGCAGGCTGACCGAACACCCCACTGTGCAGACGCTGAGGCCGGGGCATTGAGACAGCGTGAGCAGAGGGGGACACTGTGCGGCCTGCAGGCTCCAGGAGGACCCCAATGGGCAGGCACACCCAGCAAAGGCTCATGCACACACGCACGTGTGCACACAAGCAAATGCACACGCATGGACTGCCGCGCAGGCACACAGCACCCACACGCAAGCCCAGGGCGGCCCGGGCCCCGCCCTTCTGTGCCACCCAGCCGCAGGCCCTGCCATGGGAGGCAGCCTCCCCCAGCCCACGGGCCACACCCTCCCCGCCCTGGCCACAGCTGCACCTGCCCGCAGCACCTTCACCGCCAAGCCCAGGCCGAGCCGCAGCTCCGCCGCCTGCCACTGCTTCAGAGACCACAGGCACTGGCCCGCGTGGGCCTCCGCACAGCCTGAGCCCGGAACTCCTGGCCACCCAGCCCCTCCAGTGCCAGCCCTGCCTACGCTGCCCGCACAGCAGCCCGAGGTGGGAGAGCCTGGCACAGCGGGGCCTTGCATGCAGCTCAGAATGGATAATGAGCCAGGCGTGCAGGGGCCGCATCTCCCAGCTCAACCCCGCTCCCACAGGAAGCAGCAGGGAAGGAGGCGGATTAAAACTTAATCCCACTGATCCCCCAAGGGGCTCCCCATCCTGGCTGCTCCTGCTCCAGGCAGCCAAGGCCCCCCGCTGCCAGGCGCCAGCTTCTGAGGCTCGGCCCAGGCAGGGGACACCCCGGCCCCACACCCCAGACGGAGAGCTTGCAGGGGCAGGCCCGGCCATCTTTGTCTCCCCCCCACACTGCCCTGCAGTCGTTCTGGGGCCCTCCCTGAGCGACCCTCTCGGCTGGCAGGGGTCTGGGAGCTGTGGAGTCAGTTGGACACCGCCCTCGAGGACCTTTCTGCCCTTCACCAGAATAAACAGCTTGGGCCAAGGGAGACAGGGAAGCCTGGGATCTGTGCACCAGCTGCTGGAGACAGCTGTACCTGCTCTCCCGCCCAGGGTCAAGGCACCTCCGAGCTCACTCCTGTGCCACCTGCGGCAGGGCCCTGCCCTCTCAGAGCTCCAACTGCCCGAGAAGCAGAATGGGGTAACTGTACCTGCTTCATTCAGGCCAGGACGGGGCTGACTGAAGCCACACAGCGTGCAGCCAGGACAAGAATAAAGGAACGAGGCCCTGTCCGCGGCAGTCTAACCGTGCCAGCGAGCCCCTCGGAGGTGCCTGGCACTGTCCAAAGGGTACTGCCAAGGAGCCCATGTGTCGCTGCCACTCCACAGCCAGAAGCTGAGGCAAAGGGTTAAGTGACACAGCCAAGTAACAGCCAGGGAGAGGGCGGTCGGGTCTCGCCCCTGTCCGTAAGACGCCCACGACTGGTGTGGGAGGGGCCTGGCACAGGGTCCCCAGGCCCCACGCAGCCGCTCAGGGCACTGGGCAGCCTCGGCCCTCACGCCTGCCCCACTGGGAGGGCCTCCTACAGCGGTGGTGGTGACGGGTGGCCTTCAAACACCCAGCTCTCCTCCCAGGGCCAGCTCCCGGGGAAGGGTCAGTCAGCGGGACCCCTGCTGGAGGACAAGACCCCATGGTGCGGCAGTCTCGGGTCTGGGACACCTGGCTGGGTGACTCGGGCCAAGCCACTTCACCTCTCTGGGCCTCAGTTTCCCCATGTGTTAAACAAATGACCGCAGCACCTACTTTCCCAGCCCTGCTCCCTGCAGGGTGGACAGGAAGGGACTGGCCAGCGGACATCTCTGCTGCTGCTGGTGACATCACTGTGACCATCTGCGTTGCGGGGTCTCACAGTGATGCAGTGCCCGGAGTGCCCGCCTGGCCCCTTGGCCCGATGCGCGCATGTTCATGCTGCAGCCCCCGGGCCAGCCACGGCGGGCAGAGCCACCCGATGCCCAGCCAGGGCCCCCATGCTGCCCCCCCACTTGCCAGCTGGCCCTCAGGCAGGAGGAGGGCCGGGTCCCACTGCAGATGGGAGCACGGAGGCTTACGGGGGCACGTGTGGCGCCCCCTTGGGGGATAGAGGTGGCTGCCCGGTGCAGAAGGGACGTACCCGGTTCTCATCGTAGATGATCTGCACCAGGCTGCGGTGCTTCGACTCGATGGGCGGCGGCGACACGGGCTTCTCAGGCTCTGGCGGCTTGGCGGCCTCCTCCTCCAGCTGTTGCTGTGGGAAGGGGACAGCGGGAGGGTGAGGCCCGCACTCAGGCAGAAGGAGAGGCGCAGCCCTGCGAGGGCCCGGCAGCTCGGCCCGCAGCCGCTGCAGGAAGTCAGGCCGTTCCCCACTTCCTCTGAGTCACCCGGGGACTCCGCGCCTGCAGAGGGAGGCCCGGCCCGGCCCCGACACCCTCCCGGTTCAGATGCTGCGCCAGGGCTATGCAGTGAGGGAGCAAGAGGAGTGGCTTGACCCTGATGGGCCTCAGTTTCCTCGTCTGTAAGACAGTGCTGATCCCACCCTCACGACCGGGGCCTCTCCATCATCACCATCAAGATCATCACCGCCGCATGAACACCACCACCATCCACCCTGCTGTCTCCACACTGCACGGCCTTCTCTAAGCACCTCACACGAGGCTTCCCTTTGAGCTGCCAGCTGCTTTACACCACAAAAGGAAGCCAAGACCAGAGAACAGAGACGCTGGCCCCAGATCACACAAAAGGCCAATTCCCAGGCTGCCATCTGACAGGGCATCCACGTGACATCAGAGGCCACTCCGCTGGTAACGCCCACACAGCCTGGATGTGATGAGGGGCAGAGCATTAGGATGCCAAAGAGGCAGCCGAGAAGACCTGGTCCAGAGCGGGGCCGCCTCAGCCCCACAGCGACCCCTGGCGGGGGCCTCCACGTGGGCCACAGACTCCCAAGGGCCCAGCGAAGGAGGCCTGGAAGCTGAGGTGTGGGCCCAGCGAGTGCACAGGAAGGGACTAGAGCAAAGCAGCCACTGACACAGGTGCGGAGACCCGGCTACCCAGTCAGGAATGCGGGCCTGAGCTGCCCCGCTTGCTGCTCTGGGGCCTGGGGTCACCACTCTGACCCTGGGGTCCTCTTTCCTCAAACTCCTGGAGGAACTGCCTCCTCCCTGCTGTCTGAGGCTCCAGCAGAGGTGCAGGCTGCAGTGCTGCCCAGCAGCTGACAGAGAGCTGCAGGGCCACCACCGCGGCTGGAACCAGAACTTTGTTTAAAAAGAAAATAACAGGAGTTGGGCAAGAATGTGGAAAAGCTGGAGCCGTCAGACGCTGCTGGGAGGCTGTGAAAATGGGGCAACCGCAATGGAAGAGAGCCTGGAAATTCCTCAGCGTAGACTTCCGTGTGGCCCAGCGATTCCCTTCTGTCTACACCCGAGAGACCCGAACACGTCATCCAAACAAACACTGGCGAACTCGTGATTCCAGCACCAGCAGCCACAGGGTGGAAACAACGCCACGTCCATGAGAGACAGGCGGAAAAACACAAGGCGCACAGGGTCCCCTCGGCCACAGAGGTCAGCACTGGCCCGGCGGGTGGGAGGCCGGGCTCCCATCCCCAGGACAGAGAGGACAAGGCCCCGATGCTGCCACCACGCAGGTGGCCCCAAAGGGCTTCCGCTAGAGAAGAGGCAGACATGGGGAACACAGTGTGACCCGCCGGAGGGAGGGCAGAGACTGCAGAGGGGCTGGGCTTTCCTTCAGGAAGGCGAAGACATCTTGGGACCGGCCAGCGACAAGGCCACACGGCACCAGCAATGCACTAAGCACACCGAATCCTACGCCCTGAAGGACTGAGCTTGCACTTGGGAACTTCAGTTCCAATGACATCACAGTGGGATTCGGGAAAAACTCACAGAGTGAAACCTGACCGAGTGCCTGGCCCGAGTCACATGTGTGAGCAGGGACCCGCAGCTGCCACATCGCCCACAGCCAGGCCTGGAGACCCAAAGGCCACCCAGGCCTGGGACAGCTGCTGAGCCACCTCCCGGGCAGCTTAGCACAGCGCCCTCTGCGGCCCCACGCACTGCACACCCCACACGCTACACGCCTGTGCTCCCGAGGGAGGGGACAGACGCCAGCCTCCCTTAGCCTGGACACCACTGGGTCACAAAGAGGAACAGTGACTCGGGGGATGATAAAGCCGTGGCGGGGCGGCTGATCTGCAGTCAGCGCGTCTCCCAGAGGCCCTGGCGGTAAATGTTTTTGACTCTGAGGCCACAGGGTCTCGGCTGGGGAACCCGGAACAGCCACATGTGGCATGTGCACGGGGAGCAGCCTGTCAGTCCTCTCTGCAGAGGGGGTATCGGAGCAGGCACTGAAAGATGCCGGGGGGGAACCCCAGAAGTGCCAGGAAAAGTCAGATTATCAACTAACTTTGTATCGAATAAATTACAAACGAATATTATCAGCACCACAGCCGGGCACAGTGGTGCATGCTTATAATCCCACCTCCTCAGGAGGCGGAAGCAGGAGGACTGCTGTGAGTCTGAAGTCAGCCTGGACTAACAGTGAATTCAAGGCCAGCCTGAAAGTGAGACCCTGTCTCAAAAAACAAATCAACAGTGCCGGGAATGTAGCTCAGTGGCACAGTGCCTGCCTGGCAAGTGCAAGGCCTGAGTTCAATTCCTGGCACACAGACACACACACACACAAACCCACCAAAAATAAACAAATAAAAACACCATTCGGATCAACATTTCTCCAAGTGTCTTCGCCTGGTTTCCACTGTGACAATGAGACTTTGTTTTCAATCTCAGGATCTTGATCCCTCTTTAAAACTCTAGAAGGCAGGCAAGGAAACCGAGGCTCCCCAAAACTGAGTTCCCCAGGGGAAATAAGACAAACCACATTTAAATTTGGGGGGAGGCCTTGAGACAGGATTTCACTACCTGTTCTGACTGGCCTTGAACTCTCTAGTAGCCCAGGCTGGCCTTGAACTTGTGGTGACCCTCCTGCCTCAGCCTCCCAAGTGCTGGGATTACAGGCGTGGGCCACCAGGCCTAGCTAACCATATTTAACTTAAACAGAGACTGCAGGGGCCTTAGGCGGGTTTCGTGCGCCTCCGCCTCCAGGTCAGACGGCCACTGTGCACTGTGCGGGGGACAGCTCAGGGGCTGTCCGGGGTGGGAGGCCACCCGCACGCTGGCCTCATGAATGTTACGTGGGCACACAAGCTCGCTGGCCCAGACCTAGAGGCACCTGCACACATCCGGGACCGTTCCTGGCATCACCTCGTGGGTGTCACCGCCAGTGATCTGCAGGGAGCTGGGCCCCTGTGCCCCGCCCCGGCCCCGCACACCTGCTTCTTCTTCAGCTTGGAGATCTGTTGCTCCACCATGGTGATTTCACGGTCCACACGGTCCATGTTCTGGATCAGCTCCTCCTTGGACAGCCGCGGGGGCACCAGCTCCAGTTCAGCATCACCGTGCGGGGGGCTGGGCGGGGACACCGGCTCCAGCTTGCTCGCCAGGCTGCGGTCCTGAGGGACAGGTGGGGACATAGGTCAGCCAGGGTGCCCGCACTGCTCCAGGTGCCACACGTGGCCCTGCCCTGCCTCCGAAGGCCCCTGGATCTCTCCGGACACCTGCTTCCTTCTCCCGCTTCCTGCAGCACCCCTCCTCACACACCCTGCCCTCTGCATGCTCCCGCAGACCCGGCCCGCCAACGGCAGCAGTGCCCCTGCCCAGGCCCGGCCCGGCCCTCTGAGAGGCCTCCTGCTGATGCGAGGTCATCCAGCAAGTGCCAGGACCCGGGGTGGCACAAGCCGCGAGGGACCCCCACACCAGGGCACCAACGTGGACCAAGAGGATGGGCTGTGAGCTGCCCGCTGGGCACGAGAAACAGGGGCCTTTCTCTTCCTTTTTTCTGTATTTTTTAAATTTTTTAAGTAATTTTTTTGTGTTACTGGCGATTAAACCCAGTGACTTCACACTGAGCTACATCCCCAGCCCTTTTTTGGTTTTGTCTTGAGACAGTCTCACACATCACTAGATCGCCCCCGGGCTGGGCTTGATCTCACAATCTGCGATCTTCCTGCCTCAGCCTCCCAGGATGCTGAGATTACGGACTTGCACCACCCTGCCTGCTTACTTTCTCCTATGCCCGTGTGCCCCCAGCCTGTGCTGCGCATGAAGGCCGAGCGGGGCTCTGGCTGAGAGGCCAGGAAGACGGCCCAGGCGCAGACCCCGGCACCCCTGCTTCGGTCTCCCTTCTCAGTGGGCGGCGTGGCAGTGTCACCTCCCAGGTACCTAGGAGTCCACTCCACTCCACTCCAGCCCAGCACGCCCTGAGCCTCAATCGGCACAGGCAAGGACACCACGGATGCCCACGCCCAGGCTGGAGCCCCATGGCAAGGCCATGCCAGCCCCGCCTGGGCACTGGGCCAAGAGGGCAGCTGCTGGCCCAGGGGACGGAGCAGAGCCAGGCCGCTGCCCCCAGGACACAGGGGCATTATTCCCCAACAACTGCAGTACAGCGGGGCCCACGCCATCCTGCCCCCCGGCCTCGGGCCCCCGTGGCCATCTGAGACAGGGACACAGCAGATGCCCAGGTCTGCTCCAACACAGGGCCCTCCAGGACGTGTATCGGGCTCCTCACGACAAAGGGCAGTGGGGGGCACAGTCCCCGGAGCTGGGTCACCCAGGGCAGGACACGGCCACAGCCCAGGCCCCACAGCCGGTGAACGCAGCGGAATGAGGATGTGGGCTGCGGGGCCAGGCCACCCTCAAAATCACCAGAGCAAACTGCTTGCCTGACCCAGTATGGCTCTCAGAGGCAACATCACCGACCAGGGCTGGGGACAGCGCCGTGATTAGAGAAGCGGTGACGGCCACCAGCCACTGCCAGAGAGGCACTGGAGGCCCGACTCCCTCCTGTATCCTCACTGGCCCAAGCTTGTTTCACAAGGGCTCGGGCTCAGGTGACGGAACACAGTCCTCACGTGATGAGACATCAGCCACCCAGAAAGGGGCGCAGCCCAGACACAGGTGGACGGGCCCCCAGCACGAAGCTGCCGGACACCAGGGACCCACGGGAGGTGGGGTGCAGGGTGCACCCTCGATGTGCGTGTGTCCTCCTGGGGTGAGGGGCACATGCTGGCCCAGGCAGAGGTGGTGGCTGCAGCACCGTGAAAGGCCAGGGCCCCCGACTTCTAGGTCCTCTGACCCTGCATGAAGCATGGGAGTCACACTGAGCAGTGGAGGGACCCCTGCCACCCTCCCGTTAGCCCAAGCCAGGAGGAGACAGCAAAGGATAGATAGATACCCATCACTAAGCCTCACTGACTGCCTCTTTCCTGCTCAGATGCCCTTGTGGCAAAACTCCAAGGCAACACTGACTGCCATGAATAAAAGAAAATCTCATTATGCAAAACCGAAACCACAGAAGCCCCCAGGCCTACCCCGTGGGGGAGAGCCGTGTCTCCGCAGGCCTTGCACCAAGGAGGGTCCCGGGCTGCCGTAGTTGGCACCCCCGGATCACATGGGCCACGGCAGAGCCAGCGAAGGGCAGAGACAGGGTCGTGGGGACACCGCGTCCAGGTGATGTGTCAGGAGCCGTGTGTGTGGTGAGCCACAGCGCACAGAGCCCGGGAGACTTGCAGGGGGACGAGGCGACAATTTGAGCACATTTCTACGGGAAGGAGGCTCACAGCGGGAGAAGGCCATGTGGAGAGGCCTCACACCCCGCCCCGGCACCCGCTGGCTCCACGCAGAGGCGGCAAACCCAGCCTAACCCTGCACTCAGGCCGCCCAGGCTCCGCACAGCCTGCAGCAATTGCATTGTGGGGGCCCTGCCACCCCCACCCCGTCCTTCCTGGCTGGGCCCCAGCGGAGAGGCGAGGCAGAGGACAGAGACCCGGAGGGCAGAGGACGGGATTCCCACAGGGCGGAGACAGGAGCGGAGGCGGCGTGGCGTGCAGCCCAAGACTCCTGAGCCACGGTCCAGGGCTCGGCCACTCTGGGGAGCCCAGCCGGCAGCAGTGCCATCCGCCCCAGCAGCAAACTGCAGCCCTCCATCCCCCCGCAGCCCTGGTCCCGGTTCTCCTTCCCGGCACAGCAGTGAGAGCTCAGGGCCTCTGGCCTGGCAGAGGGGTCACCAGGCAGCACTTGTATGGGCCATCACTCACAGGACCCAGGACTCCAGGGAGAACAGGCGGACGGGGCAGGCAAAGGGCAGGAGAGGGGTGGACCAGGAATGAGGCCAGGTGGGTCTCAGGGACACAGCGCCTGGAGGACACGGGTGACAGGCCTCCGCCATCAGGCCCGGCAGAAAGGAGGATGTGGCCCACTGAGGGCAAGGCATCGCACCCGAGGGCACAGCACTGGGCAGGCTTAAGGAACTGTGAGGAAGGTCCGCAGGGCTGAAGGGGACTGGGCCAGGGTGCTGGTGGGCAGGGAGGAGGTCAGGGCGCCTGGATCAAGCCAGACCAGCAGGGCCAGGTGGGTGGACACAGACCAGACTGGGCCCCGTGTGGATGGCAGATCCACGGATCCACGGAGGGGCTGTGTGGGGCGAGGAGGGGGGGGCACGTTGGAAGCCCCAAGCCGCAGGGGGCATGGCCAAGGGCCTCAGGCCTCGGACCGTGGACAGCCCAGGACCACTGACCCCCAGGAGCAGCTGGATGCAGACGGCAGAAAGCAGCAGCACCCGAGCGCCATCCCCTGGGACCAACCCTACACTGTCCCTTCTCCCGGCAGGGCCCTGCAGTGTCCTTTGCAGCCCTCAGCATCCTAAGCCAGTGGCGCCCCGAGATGGCCAGGGCTAGGTCCCAGCCCCTGTGCTGTGCAGAGCTTGAGGGGCCGCCGCAGGCCAGATTCACACAAGCAGGGACCCAGCCCTGACCCAGCACACAGCACGCGTCATGGCGGGGCTGGGGGGCGCCCCACACCCATCGGACCCCAGCTCTCTGATCAGTCCCCAGCCCACCCTTCCACTGGCCAGTGGAGATGCCCACACATCCGGTCCTCAGGGTCTTTGCTCTTGCCACCTAAACAGCCTCCCCAGGCCCAGGCCCCGGCCCCTCCAAGGAACTGGCCCTGCACATCTCTTGCTGCCGGGTCTTGTACACCCAGCCCTCAGTCCCTGCTCTGTGCCTCTGCCCGAGTGGACTCCTCCCTGCTCCCGCCCGCCAGGCCTACCTTGGTGAGGTCCTCAGATGCTCCAGGCTGGCCCGTGCCCAGCAGAGGTGATGGCCGCAGCAGAGGGTCGGACATCAGCTCCAGGCGCGGCCGCTTGCTCTCCATGAACTCCAGGTCGGCCTTACTCAGCTCGGGCAGGTACGCGTGGGACTCAGGCCTCAGGTGCAGCTCCTGGGACCTGCAAGGGACCGGGCACAAGGTGGCATCACACAGGGGATGATGGTCTCGGGAACCCAGGGCCCCCAGTGTCCTCCACCAGAACCAGGAGGGACCCAGGCACAGCTGACTTCCTGCAAGGTGATCGGCACCGAGGCTGGAGACAAAAACAGTCACATAGGTAGGAAGAAGGCAGAACCTCCACCCCACCAGACCTCCTGCATCTTAAAAGACACAGTCAGGGGCCGGGATTTAGCTCAGTGGTTTCGCCGCCTGCTGCACAAGCGCAAGGACCCAAGTTCGATCCCCAGTACCAAAAGAAAAAAAAAAAGACAGTCAGGTGACACCGTTTCCTGTCCACTGGCCAGGGCAGACATCACTAGCCGATCACTGCACTGTTGCTGTGAAACCTGGCCTCACACCTTCTCAGCTCAGCTAGTAGCCCTGATGAGGATGTAGGCTGATGGCCCCTGACCTGCTCCCTTCCCAGACACAGTGCATGGCTTTGCCTGAACACACACAGCAGAACTAGAATGGGCCTCCAGATCCGGACTTCCAGTCCACTCCAGAATGTGGAACTTTCTGAAAAGAACTCAAACTCATTGCCCTAACTACCCACTCTGCCCCCACTTCCTGTCACTATGTCCCTGCCCCAGGGCCTTTCCCCATGCTAGGACTTTGTCAGGACTACTCGCACATCAGCTCCTTCCAAGAGCAGGGGCCTGGTTCCCTGCCTCAGCGATGCTCTGCCAGGTCTCTCCACCATGATGCCCCTGCCTTGGAGACAGACAGCATGGACTAAAGCCTCTGAAACTGTGAGCCAGTTAACCCTCTCCTGTAGGCTGGGGTGCCAGGTATTGTATCCCAGCAACAAAAACCTGGCTGACACACTGTCCCACATCTCAGCTGGCCGCAGTAGAAGCTCTGGCTCAATCATTCACACCCCTGCGCAACCTTCTGCCTGGACGAGGCCACAAGGCTGCTGGAGCCCGGGGCAGATGGCAGCACGCTCCTGGCCGGCCAGAGGAAGGGACGGGGGAGTGAAGGAGGGCTTGTGAGGACACCACAGCCGGCTTACCGTTCATTCCCGGGCTGGAACTCGGACAGCAGCGAGGGCCTCCGTCGCTGGGGCTGGATGATGGAGCCAGGCGACAGGTGGGAGGCATAGTCCCGGGAGTGGTGCTGGTACTCAAGCAGCCCAACGTCCTGGGAGGAAGCGGAGTGAAAGTGGGCACAGAGGAGTCGTCCGTCCCACAGACCAAGGTCTGGCTACGCTGCAGGCGGCTCCCCATGCCCTGGACGCTCTGCTCTGGGCCTGGAGATGTAACCCGGAGCCTCGCACATGCTCGGTGAGAGCTCACTGCACGCTCCAGTGACACCCAGGCCATACTCTGCCATCCCGACCCGATGGTGAGGTCCCTGGAGGAGGTCCACACGCTTTAATGCACAGCAGCACGATCTGTTCTCTAGCACACCCCTTACCATCTGGGTGAAGGCAAACACTAACCAATCAGGCGGACCCTGTCACCAGGTACACCCTGGCTTGAGAAATATCAAGTATTCGGAGAAAATATTTTTAAAAAGACAGAAACAAGCCTCTCAACAAGAGCACAACACTGGTTCCCTTGGTGTACCAGCCCCAGCTGATGAGTTCTATCTGTCTGGAACACTCAGTTCTGCTGCGTGGGGCAAGCGATTAGTGATGTCTGACACGGGCACGGCTGTGGGAAGGTGGGATGGCAGATGACTCAAGTTTCCTCCTGGCACCGCTTCCTGCTGTTTTGTTGCTTGGTTCATTTTTTTCTGCAGAGCTACAATTTCCCCAATTTTCTGTAAAAATCTTGCCATTCTTTTGTTGTCTGGCTTTTTAGATGAAAGCAGTTACTTCTGCAAAAAGAACCAAGCTGACACCAGGTAGGTGTGAAGAGAATGGATTCATTTCAGATCCAACAGAACATGTGTGGAGGAGGCGGGGACAGAAAGCTGCAGGGCCTCGGAGGAGGCACCTGCTGGGCCGTGCTCAGACCTCGGGCCGCAGCATCCTTGGCTTGGAACCTGGCACCTGGCTCCTGGCACAGACAGAGGGGCCTCTCACATGCTTCTGATGCCTCAGTACCCCGAAGCTGAGCCCCCACAGTGTCTAGCACAAGGCGCCGGTGCCCACGGCCGGCAGGAAGCAGGAGGACGCGGCAGGGACGTGCCAGGCTGCCAGGCACGGATCCTCCGCAGCAGGCGGGCGGCGGAGGTGCGAGAGGAAAGCAGCAGGCTAAGCCAGCTGCCAGCAGGAGCGCTCTCCCCACAGGCTCTCCGCGCAAAAGCAAAATGAGCAAAGCGGGAACAGGCAGACTGTCCGCTTGCTGCCGCTGCCAGCCGAGGCACCAAGAGGCATGGGCGGTGCATGGCCCTGGCACAGGGCGTGGGAGGCCACTGCAGGCTCTGGCCTGTTTCCCAGTTCAGGAGGGGCCCTATGCAGGCGTCCACTTGGCTCCATCCCAGGGCCCATGCTCAGCCCAAGTAGTGCTACCTGCCCTGGTGTCTGCCACAGGACCTCATGGCGCAGTGACCTGCGAATCAGCCTGGCGGGTCTTTCCCCGGGGTCAGCACCAGGGCCCAAGACCAAGGCCAAGGCGGCTTCAAGTGCCACTGGTGCAGGGCCACCCCCACTCTGGCGCACAGCAGAGCCAGCAGAGCCGACACTGCAGGGACAGGACCCACCCAGCACCGGGGACGCCATGCCGGGCCCTCAGGGCAGCAGAGGGAGGACACTCAGGGCTGCGCTGCTCTGATGGTAGCAGGTGGTCCTCAGCATCACAAGGACAGCTGCCACATCACCCACCTGCTCTCACACCCAGCGAATGTCCTCGCCCAAGTGACACAGAACCGAGGCCCGGGGTGGCGAGGCCGCTTGTCCTGCAGCTAGGACAAGCCATGGACACACAGCTGAAGTGACCTCCCAAGGCCACCTGGCAGGAGGGGCGCTCAGGGACCCGGCCCTGTGTCTCTGCTCTGGACAAGGTCCGTTCAGCCCCACTCAGAAGAGCAAGAGGCGAGCTCAGCGGTCCCGGAATCCAGCTCGTCTTAGGAAGCCCAAGAGGGACACAGCGGCGGGCCAAGTGCGCTGGGCTCCACCAAAACAAAACCAGGGGGTTTGTTACTGAACCCTCGATCCAGGGAAAGACCCAGGGTCCTGATCCCGTGGGATGGAGAGAACGGGGCCCAGACAGGGTCTGTGGCTGGGCAGGGTGAGTCCCCTACATCAAACCATGTCTGAGGGAGGCTGAGGCCGGGAGGGTTCTCCAAAGTCTCGGGGTCCAGTCCCCATGAGCAGTGCTCCCCACATCCACCTCCCAGCCACACTAGGCACAGCATGCCCTCAGCCCGGAGCCAATGCCCACAAAGCACCAGCAGAAGGGCCAGAGGGGAAACTGAGGCAGCCGCACTCCACTAAAGGAGCAGCCTGGCAGAAACTGGCAGAAACCGTGACTCAGTGCCACCGAGGAGTCTTGGGCTCCAGGAGGACTCACTTTTGGAGCACCCGGGCACTCCCTGTCAGGGCCACGTGGGGTGACCTGATCCCCACCGGCACCTCACCCTGGAGAAACTGTGCCCGTAGGCTGTGCCTTGATTTCCCCTCTTCCATCTCCGTCTTCCCAGCCACAGACCTGATGCTCGCTCACACCAACGGCAGGAAGCGGCCAGCTGGGCCCGGACTCAGGCCTGAGAGCCCCGGCTCTCGTTCCCAGGTGCCCCACAGCAGACAGTGGGGTCAGGGGTCAGGCAGCTGCCCAGGAAGGGACTATGCACACCCGCCACTGCCCACAGGACAGTGTGGGCGCCAGAGGAGGGGCGGGGACCCCAGGTCCTGTCCACACACGTCATGCGTCACCGACAGCCAGCACGACAGTGGGAGGTGTCAGCTGACGCTAGCACCCGGCAGAGGACACAGCGGGGGCAAAGGGCAGGGCCAAGGGCCCAGGGCTCCCCGAGGCCGGGCCCACGGTGGAGCGTAGTGAAGGGCAGGAGCCGGAGGGTAGTGAAGGGCAGGAGCCGTGCAGGACAGGGTGACAGTGACAAGTAGCACTAACAGCAGAGGGACAGGGCAACAGTGCCGGGCACTGCCGAGAGGACCTCAGGTCAGAGCTCAGCCCTCAGGAGACCTGGACGCGTACACAGAAAGCGGGGGACAGCCACAGCAACAGCAGCGGGCGCCTAAGGACGGCTCTTAGTGTTGGTGGTGGTGGGTGTGACAAGGTGACAGTGACATCCAGAGAGTACTTTCCTCAGCCTGGGGCGCTCACAGGTGCTCAACAACAGAGACCTGACACCCAGGGCCCGGGCAACTGCCTTATCAGTGATTTAACCTGAGGCTGGTCAGGGAACCTCCCTGCCTCAACCTGCTCGCCCGCAGAACAGGCTGAGGAGCGAGCTGGCTGCCTGCCGTGTGTCTCCCACAGTCCAACCAAGGGGAGTCTCCAGCCAGCAAATGCGTCCACGCACGGCATCGACTCTGAAACACATCCTGAGGCCCAAAGCTGTGGAGGCCACAGCATGCGGGAGGCCCCAGGCTGGGCCATCTGTGCACACGTCCCGCCCGGGGCAGAAATGCCTGCCCAGGCCCTGGGGAGGACCACAGCACTGAGCAGGGCAGACACACACGCAGGCACAGGCACGCATGCAGGCACACGGGCACACCTGGGGGCCGGCCGTCAGCTCCCACTATGCCTCACACCAGGTGCTCCGCCCTGCACACAGGACCCCACTGCCGATCAGCCCGGCCCGGCCCAGCCTCACCGTCCTGACTATTTAGGGACAGGGTCTCACCAAGTTGCTGAGTGCCCAGGCCAGGCTCCAGTTTGCCATCCTCCTGCCTCAGCCTCCAGAGCAGCTGGGAGGACAGGCGTGCACTACCTGGCTCACCTTCCCGGATTAAAATGTGACCCAGGACTTGTATTCAATGCCCAGGATCCAGGACACCACCTGTCAAGCGCCCTGTGTGGCGGCCACACCAGCCTCACTCAGAGAGAAGAAAGGACCGGGTGGCAGCAGCCCCTAAGCTGACCCCAGGCATACAGGGCGCGTGCCCCTTACCGTGTGGGACCGGATCTGCACTGGGTACGAGAGGCCATGGGGCGGGTAGCGGGGCTCAGGGGCCCTCCAGGTCTGCGCCACAGGCTGCGTGGATCCCGACATGACGGTGGGGTCCGGAGAGCTCTGAGCCAAGTCGCTGTCTTGGTCACCACCGAGGGTCAGCAGGAGGCCCCTGTCACCGGCTCAGGGGCGGCCCTTCACAGGCATCTGTGGAGAGAGCAGGAGATGAGACTATCAGCTGCCCAGAGCCCTCCACCCGCCAGCACCAGGGGACAGGGAGCAGCCGCAGGGCCAGAGCAAGAGCCACAGAAGGGCAGGGTCTGACCAGGGAAGAGCTGGCCTCCCAGCAGGCACCGGAACCCAGCCCTGAGGCATTGGCCCCATCTGCACCTCGGCCAGGCAGCCTCTCTCCACAGCCTCCGGGACTTTCCGTGGCTCTGGGGCAAAGTTCCCCAAAAGTCCCTGGCAGGGAAAGCTCGCAGCTGCTGGCCCCAGCCCAGGAGGCCACCGGAGGGGGAGGCACACACGAGCAACTGTGGAAGTCAGGTCAGCCCAGGCAGGCCACAGGTCGCTCACAGCGTGACCCAGACAAAGCCAGGCCGCTGGGGCCTCCTTGCCCCATGACGCTGTGATGCAGGGCGGAATGACGCAAGGGTGACCGAGAGGCACACGGACGAGGTCAGGCTTCACTGAGGGCAGGACAAGGAGCGGTGGTGCTGTCCCCGGAGAGGAGCCGCCACGGCTACGCTGGAGAGACCAGCACAGGTGTCTGAGACCCAAGAGCTTGGCAGAAGCCAAGGGACCCAGTGGATGCTGCTTCACCTAGAGATCTGGGGATGCCCATGGGCCCCTCCTCCCCTTCCTTCCTCTGCTGCCCCAGATCCCGGAGTTACAACCAGCTCAGGGCCCGGACCTGCACACCAGGCCCCTGCTTCATACAAACCTCTCTCCCCTATCCATACCCCACCCAAGGCAGGGAAAACCCAAGGGGGCGCAGGCCCCAGCATCTGGAGGTGGCCACGCAAGGGGGCTGGGGCTCCATCACAAGGGGTCAGGGTGAGGAGGGAAAGAGAACAGGCCCAGGTCCCTGCAAGCCATCCTGACCACCCCTGCCCTGCCCTGGAGCTCTCCAAGGTTGTGGGCTCCCTGGCAACCTGCCCCTTGGCGGTCTAAGGTGGAAGAATGCTGGGAGGGAAAATTAAGATCAACTCAGCCACAGAGAAGCAACGAGACCCTGGTCCACAAGACAAGGGCATCTGAGAGCCCAACTGCATTCTACTCCCACCTCACCTTTGACCAATGTGGTCCTGACTTTGCTTCCCAGGGTCCAAGAATGGTCATGTGTTCCAGACCTGGCCAATCAGATTCCTGTACCCCAAAGCTAGTGATTGGCTGAGGGGTGTGTATGTGACCCAATCCCAGCCAATGAGAGTTGGTCTTAGGGTCAGCTGAAAGAATCTGGGACCAGTTGCGCCCTGCAGGGATGGGAGCTGGAGAAAGGAAGCTTGGAGCTCCTCAGCCACAGATGCCCAAGAACAATGCTCATGGGAGGATGGTGGGGCCGAAGGGCAGGAGTGGGCAGCCATGGCCCTACGGCAGACAGGAGCCTCCCAGGTTCATCTGGGGCGCTCGGCCATGGCCCACACTTGGTTTCTGTCACACACCACCGAGGAATACAGGGAAAGCAGGTGTCGCTCCGGTGACTCCTCAAACACTGCCCACAGGGGACTGCGGAGCCACACCAGACCCACGCACAACCCAGCCACAGCGACAGGACGCACACACACTCCTGCAAGCACGGACGGAGCTCCAGGCCACCATCCCTGAGCTCCCCTCAGCGAACCTGTCTGATCATCAGTCAGTGGGATGCCAGCGTCCCCATCCCTCAGGGTCACCAGAGAGGCCACCCCTCCGAGTCATCCAAAGTCACCAGCCCTGGCCAGGGTCCCCACAGGCGTGGTGGCCCCGAAGCTGGGGCCTCTGATCCCACACCTCCACACGGCCGTGAGTTGGGCAAACCCCATCTCCAACCCTGCCAACCTTAAGTTTTAAGGAAAACAGTCTGGCAGCTCCTCAAAAATTTCAGCCTAGAATTAATTACTGTAAGACCCAGCAGCAATGTCACGCCTAGGCACCGAGCCCGTAGAACAGAAGCCGGGACTCCCAGCACAGGGACGGCAGGGGGCCCAGAGTCCGACCAGCAGCACCCATTGTGGCAAGGACTGGGGTCAGCCTGGGACGGGGTCACACTGCCCCTGGTGGAAGCAGGGAGCGGCCAGCACTGGACACCACACCGGTGGGGCGCGGGAGGACAGAGGCCCTGGCTTTCAGCGGGACTGGGGCACCCAAGGGAAACCCGCCAAGTTCCCGCAAAGACAGGGCCAGACAGGACCAGGAGCCTCGGGTCTCCAGGGTCTGCCTGACCTCTCCGAGGCCTGACTGCCCTGGGGCCCGGACAAGGCGGACAGCCTCACTCAGTGACAGCCGGACTTGGTGGCAGGCCGAGTCTGCTTGGGCAGAGGGCAGACAGCAGCACCAGGGAAAGAGAGGGGACGTCAGGAAGAACTTCTGGAGCACGGATGAGAGTCAGGGAATAGGGAGGGATATAATACTGGGGGAGAACAGCCCAGCGGGAGACCACTGAGCTGGGCAGGGAGGCCCTTGAGCGCCCCAAGCCCCGGTAGGGATGGACTTTTGTGCTGGGGGCAATGGGGAGCCACAGAAGGTGCTTGAGGGTCAGAGAGTTTCACAGCAGGGCGGCTCCTGCGATGTCCAAGCCAGGACTGGCCCTGGCTGGATCCGGCAGCAGAGATGGAGAGGGGCAAGTAGCCAGACAGCACGAAGGCTGGAGAGGAGATGGCCCAGGGGACACTCCAGCCACACAGCCCAGAGCACGGCTCCCACAGCGCACAGCGGGGCCTGCGGGCTGCTCAGCCCGGGGAAACAGCAGGCGCTCAATGAACGTGCTGAGCCCGGCCCGGCCCGGCCTCCGCGCACATGAGCCACCATCCAGGCCTGGGCAACCCCGGGGCCCACTGAGGCAGGGCGCAGCCTCTCGCTGGTGCCCTCGGGAACACAGCCCACCAATTTCTACCCCGACAGCCAGTTTCAGACCTGCGCAACGCGGTGGCAGGGGCCGCCCGGGCTAGTAGCCGAGGTGCCCAGGCCACTCCCTGCTGCGCCTGCGGGAGGTTCCCAGGGAACTGATGGGAGCTGGCACCACCTGCCGGCCTCCCTGGCGTGGGCAGGGTCCCCGGGAGCACCACACGCTGGCCTAGACCCCACAGACGTGGCACCCGAGGGCAGAGACAACTTCGCTCCCGCCACGTGCCTGCAGTGGCCGGCTGGTCCCCGGGAGACTGCGGGGCTGCGGGGACCCTACATGAGGGCACTGGCGCGTGCTCCCCTGAAGCACCGGGGCCCTGCGGCCTCCCCAGCTCCTCAGGACCCGGCACTGAGACGCCCTGTTCCAGTCTCTGCCTCTGCTGTCACGTAGCTGTCACACTCCGTGTCTCCTCCAAGTCCCTATGTCCTCTCCTGAGGCCCAGGCCAGTTCAGTGGCCCCAGTAAGCACATCCGCAAGACCCTGCTTCTGAGGAAGGTGGACCCAGCACAGTCCCAGGACCAGGCGCCAGGCGCAAGAGTGGCCCTGCTCCAGCCCCGAGGCAGGTGCTGAATAAACACCTGAGCCACTGTCCCAGAGCCTGGTACACAGAAGGCACCTAATAAGTACTTGCAGGACCCACCCCCGGGCAGCCTGGCCAGGTGGAAGGGGAAACACGAGTCGCCCACGTGCACCTGGCTGGCCACACGTCACCTTCGCTTTCCAGCAGAATGTAAAAATCGGGGATCAGGACAAGGGTCTGACGGCCACCCCCGGACCCCTGCAGAGCCCTCAGGTGACCCTGAGACCCAGAGAGCCCCTGTACCTCACCCTGGTGGCCTAGCTCTGTCAGCCACGTTAGAGGCACGCGTTGTGCGAGCCATGCTGAGCACACGCACAAGGCCCACGCTCGGGGCCCGACCTCCCAGCAGGCGGGCAGGAGTGACTCAGGGTGGCAGAAGCAGCAGCACTGGAGCAAAACAGACCCAGGGGACAATGGTCTGGAAACAGTGCAGGGCCACGGTAGCCTCACAGAATGTCACCGGGGTCACCTGGAGAAGGGGGGAGCAAGCAGCCCTGGGAACAGGGTTCCCGGTAGCAGGGGCAGCCCTGCAATGCTGAGGTGCGAGACACAGAATCCAGGGCTGCGAGTGGCCAGAGCAGAGGGCGGAGGCCAAGAGCATGCGGTCATGTGGATGCAGCGGCCACTCCAGGGCAGGCATGGTGTACATGGGGCCAAACGTGGCCTCCTACATCAGGGCCACCTCTGGTTTCTATGATAAGAGGTTGCTTCAGCTGTGTCTTGCTGAGAACAGAGGGCACAGCCTCAGGGCATGGGGCTCAGGGGAGAGGTCTCTGAACCCCAGCAACAGTGACCAGGGCCCCAGAGGTGCGGCATCTACCATCACACTGGCAGGAAGCCCATCGGTCCCCAGCCTGGCCTGTGCTGGCTCTTCCAGGACAAGGTCACCAGGCTCAGGGCCCAACTTGGGGTGCAGTTGCGGGAGTGTGACCTGCCCATGCACATCAAGCCACCCACATCCAGGGCTCTGCCCCAGCTCAGCCATCTTCTACTGTGTGCAGGCACCAGCAGAAGGCAACAGGCTACAGTGGGCAGAGTCACCCCAGGAGTCCTGCTCACCAGGGCCCAGGGCCAGCACGCATCTGCTAACAGCGGGCCACCTGGTCAGGCCCTCCTCAGGGACGATGGCTGAGGAGCAGAAAAGGCAAGTGGGTGAGAGGAGCAGCGAGAATGGACAGCTGGAGAGGACGGACGGACAGGTGGTCAGGGTGGGTGGGTGGGTGGATGGACAGGAGGGAGGGAGGATGGATGGACGGATGGAAGGAGGGAGGGAGGATGGATGGACGGACGGACAGGAGGGAGGATGGACTCGTGGATGGGCGGATGAATGATGGACGAATGGACAGAATGGAGGGGTGGACGGACAGGTGAACAGATAGATGGTCGGATACAGATGGCAGGAAAGATGGGGGTGACAGATGAAGGCATAGATGAGTGAGTGGGTGCAAGGTGGAGGACGGGAGGGGCGGGCGGAATGGACGGATGGGAGGCTGGATGGACGGATATCAGTTTAGCCGTCCCATTTTCTCTGCTCCCACAGCTTTAACGGCACCCCAGGTCCAGAGACACCTTCCCCAGCTCCACGAAGCACACAGAGGGGCACCACCACCCTCATGGAGGCCCATGCCCACACAGCCTGCTGGGAACAGAGGGGACCTGGCTTCTGCCCTCTCGAGCTGGTGTCACACAGCACGCACACTAGGCAGGCTCGGGAACAACAGCGCCTGAGGGAGGCACGCATCCCCACAGGCCCGGCACCTGCACTCTTGGGCCTTTGGGCTGAGGAACTGAACACCAGCAAAAGCAGAGCAAAGGGGATGTGCGTCCATGCCAATGCCACACCCTGTGGCCCAGACAGAGCCCACACAGTGCACATCATCCCAGGGCTGGAGGGCACAGCGAGCTCGCTGGTGCTATGGAATACTGCTCAGCTAGCAAAAGGAACGTGAGAAAAACAAAAGCAAGACGTGTGACTCCATGAGGTGAACATGTTTCTGCCCTGGATAAAGCCACTAGGGTACCGAGCTCCGAGATCTGTGGAGAGGGCCCCGCAGCTCCTGGCCCCAGAGGAGCCCTGGAGACGGAGCACAGCCAGGAGGGACAATCAGCGTGGGGGGCAGTACCGCTGGCCAGTGGCGGGGTGGGGGGTGATGGTACCCACATCGCAGATGAGCACTGCGTCCGTGAGCCTCCAGCACAATGCTGCCCCACAGCTTCAGACCCCACACCGCATCCTACGCCTCTTTCCTGGGGGCAGCAGGCCAGCGCAGGCCCCCAGCACCTGCACTGCCTGCCACCCCCGAGGGCCCCAATGGCGGGAGGACCTCCCCATCCTCCTCCAGCTGCTGCAGGAAGCACACTGGGCTCCTCACCCTGCACCCCGACGCCCTGGGTCCTGCCTGCGACTCCCATCGCCACACAGCAGCGTTCAAGGGCTCAGGGATCGGCATGGAACAGGGCTCAGAAACACCCATCCACCCTGGGGCCACACACAGGGAGGCGCCAGCCCCGCTGCCCAGAGCAACTCTGGTCCCAGTTTAACCTGCGCATGTGTGCACCTGGCCCACGGCCAGCTGGCTGCCCCCAGATCTCTCTCTCTCTCTCTCTCTCTCACACACACACACACACACACACACACACACACACACACACCCATACTCACTCACACACCTGCTCGCCTCTCTTCCAATTTAACTCTCACAAGCAGAGGGCCACCGATGTGCGCGGCCAGCCCTCTGCTCCTGGAACCCCAGGTGCCTGCTCTCCCTCGTCCACCGTGGCCCCCGGAAGCCACTTTCCCATTAGCCCGGCTCCTCTATTTGGCTGAGAGCCACGAGGTTTTCCATGGAGGGGAGGGCAGCAGGGGCCCGGGAGGCAGCCAGAACCTGGGCTTTCTAAAGGGACTGGGCCGGGTCTTCCCACTGTAATGTATGCACAGGGGGGAACCAACAACCCAGGAGGAAACAGTCCCCAACACCACTCCGAGTGACCAAAGAGGGCAAATTCTCACTTACCTGAGGTGGCAGAGCCACTAAACTTATAGAGAAAGTAGAATGATGGCCAGGTGCAGTGGCCCAAACCTGTAATCCCTAATACTCAGGAGGCTGAGGCAGGAGAATCCCAAGTTCCAGCCCAGCCTGGGTGACTTAGCGGGATTCCATCTCAAAATAAAACATTAACAGGGCCAGGGATTTAGCTCAGTGGTTTCACCGCCTGCAGTGCAAGCACAAGGACCCAAGTTCAATCCCTGGTACCAAAAATAAAATAAATAAAACATTAACATGGCTGGGGACAGAGCTCAGTGGCAGAGCACTGGCCTAGCAAGTGTAAAGCCCCAAGTTCAAGTCCCAGTATCACAAAAAGAAAAAGGAAAGAGAGAGAGACAGAGAAGCAAGTTAGAATGGTAGGTGGGTGCCAAGGGTGGGTAGAAGAGGAGCAGAGTTTGGTGGGTGTAAGAGATTCACTTTGCAAAATAAAGAGCCCTAGTGACGCGATAACGTGAACGTGCCTGATACTACTAAACTACATTTAGCCGGGTGCGGTGGCGCACAACTGTGATCCCAGCATCTGAGTGGCTGAGGCAGGAGGATCACCAGTTCAAGCCCAACCTGTCTCAAAATTTTAAAAAAGGGGCTGAGGATGTAGCTCAGTGCAAAGTCCCTAGGTTCAAGCCCAGCAACCGCCCCCACTGGAAAAGGCTCCAGAATCTTAAGATGTGGAGAGTAAATTTCACATTACACACATTTACCACAAGCTAATGGCCAGCCGCACCCATGCACGCAGGCACGCACCCTCCTCGGGAAGGAAGGCCTCCCGACTGCCAGCTCCGTGGTGGCTCCAAATACCCGGGCTGCCCCACCCGTGACGGTGTTGCCAAGCACCCCAGACCTGAGCGCCAGCCTCAGCGCTCAGGGGAACCAGGGCCTGGGGAGACACTCCTGCCTCAGTCCCCGAAGGTGGGCGCACGGGGCTGGCCTGGCCCCGCCCCCATTCCCACGAGGCCCACACCACCCCGCACACACAGCCCAACATCTGCACTCACCACAGCTGCCGGAAGCGGCCCCTCCCTACCGCCTTGGGCTGGCTTTCAGAGGAATTTACAGGGTCGCTCCTGTATTCTGGGGCAGCTCTCTGGGGGACGCCGACTGCATGTGAACGAGGACAAATGTTCCTGTGGCTATTCTTAGCTGCCTGCTGCAGCAGCGCCCACCCCAATGTCTGGGCCCTGGCCCGGCACAGCCCCAGGCTGGACCCTCCCACCGGGCCAGGCGGGAGGATCCAGTGGCCACACATGCCGCAGGCCAGTGGAGAACCCGCTCTGGAGCCGACAGGCCAAGGCTCTCGTCCTTCGGCAGATTGCAGATCGATAAGCGGCTGAAGAGGGCCACCATCAGATGGCCCTGCAGCCTGGATCCTGGAGAGTAAACAGGCGCCTAGGCCCCAGGCAGCAGCAGCTGGGTTAGAAATCCACCTGGGCCTAGGTCGGAGCAGTGGGGAGCAACCAGAAGGCTCCAGAGGAGAGGGCAAAAAACAACAGTGAGATCAGGTTCCTGCTGGAGTGGGGACCAGGCAGGACGGGTAAGAGGTGAGGACCCCGAGTGCACGGACACAGGCTCACAGGGAGGGGTGGCCAGGACCCCACAGGCCCCAAGTCTCAGGCAAAGCCAGAAAATCTGGTTTGGAGACCTTGTCCACATTTCTGAAAAATACAGGCCACAAACCCCACCCAGCAGACCCAGCAGCAGGCGGTAGAGCGCATGAGAGCTGGCTGAGGACGAGTGGCCACCAGGAGCCACACAGCAAGGGCTGAGCCAGCACAGGGCCGGAGCAGGGGACACCTGCACCCCAATGAGACATGCTGGCCATGCAGGCCGGGGCTGCACAGGAACCCCAGCCTGGCCCCATCTTCAAGGCATGGACGGTGACAGCTGCTACTCTGCCTGCCTGACACCCCACTTCCCTTCCCCTCCCACATCCCCAGCCCCAGTGTCTGTGGGAGGCTGACCCTGTCCCTCGGTCTGGCCAGTGTCCCCAGTCCAAACCACACTGGCTGCAGTGGTTGGTTTGGGTGGGGAAGCAATTCCCAAGCTGAGCAGATGGAATACTGCCCAGGGTCGAGGCCGGGATATCGGGAAGCTTTCCTTCCCCTGGCCACTGAGCTGTGACTGTGCGCCTGGACCCAACCACGCCTGAAGCTGTTTTTAGTTAGAGGAGCCTTTTATGTTCAGTGCAAGAGTAACAAAGTCTGCTGGTTGCGACCAGGGTCGTAGGAAAGCAGCTTCCCCCAGAGCTCCGAAGCTAAACTGCTGAGGGCTCCACCCTCCCAGGTGAGCACAGGACCCTGAGGCCAGCCCCGAGGGTGGCCCCTCGCCCTGGGAGGTGGGCATCTTGGGCCCCAGTCTGGCACTGACAGCAGCTCTAATGGGGACACGGCTGGCAGGGATCTGGGTCACCCTGGAAGGCCCCTGCACCTCACCCGAGGCCCCATGGGGTGACCAGAGCCACCTGGGCTCTGGAGGAGCATCCCCGTCCTGAGCTGAGGGGATGTGTGCTGCCGGCACCAGGCACGTGCAGGGCCCAGAAAGGGCGCTGCACCCCACATCCTGCTGGGCCTCAGCCACCCGGGCAGACAGGACAGGGCGACCTCACCCACCGTGCCCGGACACAGGCCAGAGGGCAGGCCCCGTCCCCTGGCAGGAGCAGCTCTGCACACACAGAGTCCCTTAGACCCCGCAGTTGCTGTGCTGACAGAACCCGAGGGCCCCTCGGCCTCCACCACACCCATCAGCCACCGGGACCACCAAACATCCCTGTGGGCGACGGAGGTGCAGAGAGGCTGAGGGACTTGCTGGGGTCACACGGGGAGACCCCAACTTCCCACCAGGCTGGAGTCAGGCCTGGCTCACGGGAACCACGGGCCGCTGGGGATGAGCCCAGGTGCCCTCGCACCCCCCCAGTCGCCCAGCCAGCCTGGGGGATATGGGAGCCCGCAGCTCCGCCACCTCAGGGTGCATCTACACGCAGCGTGCTCCCCAAGGCCGCCAAGGGGCCCAGCATGGGGCGCTGACCCCACGCTGACTCTGCCCACCCAGCCCAGGGCTCCCATCTCCCCTAAGCCATCACTGCCCCAAGGAGCTGTGTGGCCTCTGCCAGGCCACTGACCTTCTCTGGGCCTCAGTTTCGCCGTCTGTGAAGAACACCTGGCAGAAGAAGACTGGGAAGAGAGGGAAGCCCTCCGCGGCAGCACTGGAGAGGGCAGCCCGAGCAACACGCCCTTGGGGAGGCCTGGCCCCGGGGCGGGGTCCGCAGGGGCCTGGGGGTCACCAGCTGTCCCCGGCCCTCAGCACCACCTGCGCCTCCCCAGCCGCTCCCCACCTCCAGAGCTCGGGGTCACAGCCTCATCTGCTTCCCAGGGCTGCCCTGAAAATGAGCACCAAGCAGTTGACTTCAAACAGCAGTTTATTCTCTGGGCTCCGGAGCCCGGAAGTGTGCCGTGGCGAAGGCCAGAGGGCAGGGCCGGCCCCTGCCAGGGCCTGGGTTCCTCCCGCCTCCCGCTCCCCTGGGCTGCAGCCACGTCACTGTGTCCCTGTCTCTACCTGTCCCTCCCAGGGATGCAGGGTCCGTGGACCAGGAGGCTTCCTCCCACACCTCTGCGAAGGCGCTGTCTCCCAACACTGCTGTGAGCCGGAACCACCATCCCGGGACATGCGCTCCTGTCTTCAGCTGCTCAGCCACCCACCGCCCAGCCTGCACAGCACAGCACCTCCAGAGCGCGCTCCCCACCTGGCGCCACGCCCAGTCAGCCAGAGTGCCCAGGACGGGGATGGAGGCACAGCTGGCGGGGGCACCATGTGGTGCTGCAGCGCACTTGCTCAGTGGCCCGGACTATCCGGTAGCTGCCGGGCAATGGCCTCCTCCGGGTGACAAGAAGTCAGGGTTCTCACGCCCACGCCTCCCGGGAGAGGCCCGGCTGCCATGACTCACCCACTTCACAGGCCCAGAAGGGGCTGGAAGCAGAGTGGGGAGGGGACCAGCACCCCACAGGGCCAGGGCCCGGCTCGGGCTCGGTGAGTGCGTGCGGGTCCGGCTGACCGAGAGGCCACACTGGGCCCTGGGCCCTGCCCCGCCGTCGCCACCTCTCCACTTCCTGCCAGCCCCACAGCTGCCCGCCAGGCAGGGCACAAGGGCCCATTATGACGTCACGGTGAGAACCAGCAAAGGGCTCACTGTCATGCAGACGGCTGCGTCCCCAGCAAGCACCCATGCGGCCTACCCTGTGCCTGCCTAGCAGAAGGGGCAGCTGCACTTGGGGCGCAGCACACAGCACGCTGCCAGCACCACCAGCACCAGGGCACAGCGTCCTGGTGGAGCAGTGGTGTCCAGGGCCTGGCTTCCAGGGCTCCCGGTGCTAAAACAGCCATCAGGGACGGAAGCCAGATCCGTGGGGGTGACAGGCTCAGGGCTCCGTCCTCGCGCTGGGACTCCAGGCCCTGGCTAGGAGGATGCAGGAGCCACAACTGGGCAGGGAGCCCCCGCCTGCACACAGTCTGCCCGTGGCACACACCTGCTGTGTAGATGCCACCAGACCAGGTGCTTGGGACTCAAACACAGGACAGGAAGCAGACAGAGGGGGCAATCAGCAGCTGAGGTCTCTGCGTCTAGACCAGGGGCAGTGACACGGCCTCTCCCAGGAAGCAGCATCTGGGGAGAGGCCTATGTTGGGGTTGGGCAGGCCAAGAGGAGGACAGCAAGTGCAAGGGTCCTGAGGCAGGGCACAGTGTCTCCAGGAAGCAGGAGCCACGTGGGGCCTGAATGCCCGCTCCACACCCTCCAGGTTCTGCCCAGCGAGGCCCAGACCCGAGGCACATGCCACAAGCCTCCCTCTGTGCACATCTCGATGCAAACTCCCTCACAACCTCGCACGGGACTCCCACCAGCCCACGTGAGGGGAACGGGAGGGGTGTGAGCCTAGCCAGGCCCGAGCCCAGCGAGTGCACAGGCAGTGCAGAGAGGACAGGACCGCGGCCAGAGAGGACAACGCGACTGCCCAGGCCTCGGCCCAGCTTCCCCTTGGGCCAAGTGGGGCACACGGTGCCCTCCCTTGGAGGCAGACATGGCTGGGCCCTGCAGCCAGGGCTCTGCTTTTAAAACCTTTCATTTGGAGATAACTGGATCTTAGCAGCTGTAAGAAAGAACACAGTGACACCCTGAGGTCCCTCTCACCATCCGCCCAGGGTCCCACAGGACGACGTCCTCGATACCCAGAGTCCAGTACCAGGGTCAGGTCCGGGGAAGGGACGTCCCAGCACCAGCCCTGCTCAGACCTGGCGCACTCGAGTGTGTGCTCGAACCTCGTGTGCAGACCCTGGTGACCGAAAGCTCCCCATGCCCACCTGTGCTCCGTGTCCTCCCCAGCAGGCAGGGAAATGGAGTCACCAAGGCCCTCGGGGCGGCAGGGGCAGCACACAGCTCCTCCCACCCAGGGACAGCCGGGCTGAGGGGGCAGAGAGGGGCCGGGCTCGGGGCCACTTCAGAGCTGTCCCAGGACAGGCAGGCGGCAGACAGCTGGCAGGGTGGCAGGGACACCGGGAACCCCGCTGGCCCCGCTGGCCGGAGAGAAGGCCCCGGGCCAGCCACCAACAGCATCCGGTGTCCTTACGAGCCCAGGACGGCTGCCCCCAAGGCCACGCCAGGCACTTAGGGGGGCACCTGGCCCAGGAGCTAGCAGAGCAGGCCTCGGGCAGCACCGGGGACAAGCCCCGGTCCAGGTTTCTCCTCTCAAGCTGGGAGTCCTCCGCAGGGCGAAGACAGGGATGGAGGCCAAGCCAGACCTCAGCTCCAAACCCGACCCAGGGTCTCACCTGGGCACCCAGGCCGGTGCTCCTCCTGGTCCCAGAGCCACACCTGCAGGCTGAACGCCACTCAAGCAACGAGGACGTGCCAGCCACACCACAGGCCTGACCACATGTCCCACGAACACACCACTGCAGGTCAGGTGGTGTGCATCGAAGAAACCCCGGCCCCTGCCAGCACTGACGGCGCCTGCCCGGGCACCCCAGGTTGGTCTCATTAGCTCCCTAAGCCACACAACTTATGGGGTGGGGACCACAGCACATCCATTTGCCAGACTGGGAAAACTGAGGCTGAAACAGAGTCACTCGCCCAGCCAGGCCCACCCCAACCTACACCTCCTTCTCCGTCAGCTACCCCTGTCCTGTGTGCCCTCACCTCCGCCCACTTCACAGACAGGGAAGCCTTGAGGCAGGCGAGGCAACACTCAGAGAAGGGAGAAGCGGGGCTCACAGGGCCTGCCCCCGTCTGGGCGATCTGGGCGACCCCGCAGGGCCCCTACTGCCCCGCCTGCCGGGCGCACCCAGGCCTCAGGACAAGTCCCTCCCTCGTTCCACGCCAACTGAGGGCTCCTTGTGAGCTCGAGGAGCCCCGCCAACTTTCCAGTGCTTCTCGCGCTCCCCACTGCCAAAGCCCCAGGCAAGCCTGGGCCGGTGGCACTGATTTCAAACCAGACATGGGCACCAAGCCAGGCGGCACCTCGGTGGGGCGCTGGGCGCTGGGCTGGGTCACAGCACTGCACCTGGCTCCCAGGCACAACCCACTGGGGCTGGCCTGGCCCGGGGATACGCGTGAGAGTCGCGCACGCGGCAGCTCCTCACCACCACCCCTGCACTCCTTCAGGAGTCCAGCAACTTTGTCTGACAAGATGGCCCAGCCATTGTCCCGCCCGCCTGGGGTGGCCCCTCGGGCACCCTGCCCAGGGACCTCCACGTCCTCCGCTGGCCGACCCATGTCCACCACGCCTGGGACAGGATGGGGCTCCGAGCAGGGGATCGCAACAGCCCCCGCGGAGTGAGCCTGCCCACATCCCGCAACCCATGATCCCCAGCCGGGGCTGCCTCCCCCTGCCCACCACGCAGCCTGGGAACTTCACTTACCCAGCACACGCGCGGCCTTCGGTGGCCTCGGCCAGACAACTTGAAGGAACTCTGCACACAAAGGGAGGAGGGCACTCAGGGCAGCCGGCACCCGGGGCCCAGCCCGATGGCCTGGGGGACGGCCCCCACGCCCCACGCCTGGCCCATCCTGCCTGGGCCAGCGCAGCGCTGAACAGCACACACGGAGGCCGCTCCCTTCCCGCGAGACTTGGGCTCCAGCTCGGGAGGCACGGCAGGAGCGGCGGCCAGGCCAGTCCCCCCAGCTTCCGGCCCGGCGGCCCCCGAAAGCAGGCCGAGGCCCGGAAGGGACAACGTGCAGGGCTGCTGGAGCCCACCGCGGGCCTCACCACCCAGACGCGGCCTCAGCGGTGCTGCTCCTGCACTCCGGGCCTGTAAACAGGGAATTACATAAGTCCACCCCTCTTGTTTGGGAGCCAAAAGTACGAGCTTTCTCTCCCAGCCCTGGCAGTAAGTAATAATTCCTCATCGCCATGGTAACCCTGGCAGGCTTCCAGCCGACTCCGCTGAACACTGCGAGGCCTTTTTATAGCTCGGCTAGCAAACCTCTGCACTCCCTGCTCGCGGGCAGGGGACGCCGCCGGCCCCGGTGTCCCCTCTTTTAACCATTTCCTCCCAGCCTGACGGGCCCTGGCTGCTGGCGCCCCAGAGAGCCCCGAGGGTCAGGTGGCTGGAGTGGGGGACTCCTGTCCTCATGTTCATCTCAGGGACAGAAAATAGGGCCTGGCTTCTGCACCAGGGTCATCTGGGTAAGAGGCCTGGGACAAAAGGCAGAGCCAGCCGGACACAGACACACACACACCGGCTGCCAAGATGGTGTAGTCAGCCAGCAGCCCGGACGGTGACTGCCACCCATGCGTGACTTGGGCCAAGCCTGAGCGCCTCCGGGTGTCACCTGCGCCTGTGTGAGGGGCAGCCGCTCTCGGGGCTCAGATGCCAGGAACGGGCCAGGGAGGCTGCTGGGCACCAGGGAGTGCAGTGGGCAGGACGTGCCCAAGTTCCGTCCCTGGCCAGACACCCAGCAGCCCGGCCCGGCAGTGTTCTGTGTGAGGCCACGGAGTCCCCAGGGCGCAGGTGCTGGGACAGCACCGACGCTCGGACTGACAGCCGGGAGACTAAAATCCAGGCACAGGGGGCAGGGCACATGGCCAGGGCAGGACGCTGGTTCCACACACAGACCCATGTAGCCCTGCCTGAAGGCTGGCCCTGACCAGAGGATCCTCCTTGACCCAACTGGAGCCGGCTCAGTCTGGATGTCACGCAGTGTCACTCTGCAGTCACCTGCTGCCGCTTCCTGTGTCTTCCTCAGACACTAAGCAGCACAATGTTTGTTGAGTGACTTAATGACAATGATAAATCATCAAAAACCAGAAGCAGCCACAGGCAGTGCCTTCCAGACAAAGCCCATGGCCCAAACAGAGCCTGGGTTCAGGACAAGTCAGCATGTGGGTAACTGTTCAGCAGGAGCATTCCTCAGCCCTGACTGACAAGTATGGACAGGCTATGCCAGGCCTGCCTGCTGAGCAACAGGCGCCCTGTGGCGGGGGGACCACAGAGGCCTGGTGGCTGGGCACAGCAGGTTCGACGGGACTCGCCGCCAGGCTCAGTGCACAAATTCTAATCCCAGCACTCTGGGAGGCTGAGGAAGGAGATCGATCACATGCTGGACCCTGCCTTTTGGGTAACTTAGTGACTTTGTAAGACTCTGTCTCAAAACAAACAGAAAGTATAAAAATGCGCTGGGGATGCAGCTCAGTGCAAAGGACCGGGTTTCAATCCTGGGTAACACACAAAACAAAAACCAGAAAGGAGACTTGGGGCAAGTGGCCCCACTGCAGGGCGTCACTGTGTCGCTGCCTCCCACCCTCGGACCACACAAACCCCGATGTGGGGCGTGGATGCTGAGGATCAGAGCGGGAGCCACAGCAGTGGGCAGCCCCGTTCAGGCCGGGCCCAGGGGGACGAACTGCCTCACTTTCTCCCCAGGCGCTGCTTCCGGCCGGGGAGCCTGCAGCAGGAGACCTGAGAGAAAAACCACCTCAAGTTTCACAGATGCAAATCCACACAATGGAGCATGATTCTGCCACAGAAAGGATGGACCCTGGTACTGCATACTTAGAATCTCAGCCCTCTGGGAGGCTGAGGCAGGAGGACTGAAAGTTCGAGCCCCACTTGAGCAACTTAGCTTAGTGAGACTCTGACTCAAAATAAAAAATAAAGGGGGACAGAGGGACACCGGGGATGTAGCTCAGTGCAAAGGCCTTGGGGTGAATGCCCAGTAACCCATTCCCACAAAGGAATTTGGCCCTGACCCAGGACATGGGAGGGCAGACCCCGGAAAGATAATGTTGCGTAGGAGAGGCCAGATGAAAAAGCACACCCTGTGTGACCCACAATCCCACTCATGTGCGTAGAAACTTGGGGACAGCGGGCTGACTGGAGCCTACCAGGGCCTGGGACGGGTGACAGGAGAGACCCTCGCTAGCCCGGGCTTCCTTCAGGGTGGAGAAAGTGCTGGAAGCTCGGGGCTCGACATTACGAACACACAGAAAACTGGGGAGCCACTTGCTGATGGATGGTTCACTTCGTATCAATGAGCCCCACCTCCATCAACAGCAGAAGGACCTCAGCCCCCACAGCGGGCTCCCAGCCTCGGGGAGCAGCGCCCTCTCGGCCAGGCAAGCTCCGGCTCTGGCCAGGGGCAGCCGCACACTGAGCCCGGGCATGGGCCTGGGCGCTGGGCAGACAGCAGTCGTGAAGACTTCGAAACCTTGCAGATGAAAATAAAATTCCCAACTGTGCTGGTTTCTGGTGGCTTTGGTAACAAATCACCCCTGAGGGGGGCCAGCAACCACACACCTCTCCGGGTCCAGGCCGGACCCCCACCCTGGTGCCCATGGCCAGGCCCTGCGGACGGCGGCCTCCAGCCTGGGCCTCTGTCTCTACACAGCCGCCCTGGGCACCCTCGCTTCCCTCTGACGGGCACCTGGCATCAGACTGGGCCCAGTGCTATCCAGGACAAGCTCCCTGGATGACACTGGCCGAGGCCCTTCGTCCAAGCAAGGCCTCCCCTCAGTTTCCAAGGGGGCTCGCTTTGGGGTCCATGACTCCATCCACCGCCCCCTCAGGACTGCACTGGGTGCCGCTGGAGCTGGCAAGGTCTGTCATATGTCGCGTCTTCGTCATGAAGCCCACCCCACCCTGGCAGCTGTGTGAGGGCAGCCGGCAGAGCCATCTGCTCATGCAGTGCCCACTTCTAACCACAGTGCCCTCGGCTGCAAGCAACTGCAGGGGGCGAGTGGCTGCTGGCTCTGGGGACCCGGCTGTGCCGACAGAAGGTCACAGCATGCCGGCCAGTCACCAGTGTTTTCTGCATGCTAGGCACCAGGTTAACAAGGGCTCCCTGCACCACTGCAATCCCACAAGGTGCTGTTATCCCCACCACTCAGACAGGGCAACTGAGGCACAAAGCCATGAAGTCCTTGCCCAAGGGCATGCAGCTAGGAAATGTGGCACCCAAATCCCTAACCACTAGGCTTCCCGGCCTCAAGACAGTGCCAACGTGGCCCTGACTTCCGGAAATGGCATCTGCAGAGACGGCAGATGTGACTCCCCAAGACTCGGGACCTTCCGGAACATTCCAGGACATTCTGCTCCCCTGGCAAAATACTCCAAGATAAAAATCACAGCGGCGGGGCCGGGGATTTAGCTCAGTGGTTCTGGCACCTGCCTCGCAAGCGCAAGGTCCCGAGTTCGATCCTTGGTACAAAAAAAAAAAGTCACAGCGGAGAACCGAGGCCACAGGGCGGGGATGGGGGCCCAGTGGGGCCAGCAGGGAAGCACATCTCATCCTGCAATGTTTTTATAAAAATTGCATTTCTTATAAAATCTACACTCCCAGCTGTTCTCTCTCCCTCCAGATACCACCCTTCTCACACCGGGGTCGGCATGGAGCACACTCCCTGCGCCTGACACCTGTGAGCTTAGCACCAACCACGAACAAGAGGGAAATGTGAGTCACGGGACTTGAGCTTGACCTCTGCCGCAGACATGCAAGAGGGCCAGGGGCTGCAGGCAGTCTCAGACCACGGCCTGCTCCGGCCTGCAGCACTCTTGGAACCCAACAGCCACAGGGCCTTTGCACCTGCTGGCCCGTGTGGCCCACAAGCAAGGGTTGCTTCCACAGGGACACCAGGCCTCTCAGCCTGAAGCAGCCGCTGCATGCCTGAGGCCAGTGCAGCTCTACAGAGATCCGGGCTGCTGCAGCAGGGGCTGTGCGCCTACACGGCTCAGAGGGGCTGCAGTGGCACCTGCACAGCACCACAATCCGTAGGCTTCCTGGTTCAATGCCCTCTGTGTGACCCTGGGCAACTCACCTAACCTCTCTGTGGTTAGAGGTTAGCTGAGGAGATCAGAACAGCGCTGCCCAGGGTCCTCCACAGGAGCCGTCACAGTGTGACGCACAGAGCACGCGGCCGGCTGAGTGTGAAGGCAGCACAGGAAGCAGCAGTCACCATGGACGCTAACACGGTGACAGGGGCACAGTCGTGCACGGGCCAAGCCATTGAGGGCGGGCGCAGCATTTCCATGCTCAACACAGCACTTGAGAACCTTCCGCACACCGGCCCCTCCAGGAAGGTGCAGCGCCACGCACGGGTGTCCCCTCCTCCAGGCAGCCCGGGACTGCTCCCCCCAGGTCTGGGGTACACCTGCTCCCCAGGGCGAGCCCGCCCAAACCCAGGCACCCTCGGCCACTGCACGGCCGCCAGGAAGGAGAGGGACCCAGCCCAGGCCAGGGAGGAAGGGGCGTGGAGCCTGCACGGAAGCACACAGCCCGCAGCTGGGGTAGGCCCTGACCCTCCGGCACTGCAGCACTGATACCCACAATGCCCACGCCCACAGGCCGCAACCCAGCGGCTGAGGCAGGAGGGCCCAGGCTGTGACCGCTTTCTCTGTGCTGTGCCCTCTGTGAGGACAGCATCACCCACACTCACAGGCTCTGCAGCATGTAAAGCTCAGCGTGCTTGCTGCTGTGAGTGGCCGCTGTTATTTCTGCAGTCGTCTGCAACTTCTGGTTGGAGGAGGCTGATAAATCCACCCAGCATAGTGAAGGCTGCCCCGTCGCTGGGGCCCTGGCTGAGTACAGCCATCAGGGACCCGGTCCAGGCCAGTCCTCCAGCAGCACCACTGCCCCAGCGCTGGGAGCAGGGACTGGACATCGGGAAACACTTGTTGGAGCTGAGGGTTAAAAACAAGCCCATCCATAATTACGAATCGGATGTGATTAGGCACCCCACTAACTCCATTACTTATTTATTTACGGGATTGCTTATTTAATTTATGGGCCTCCTTCCCTGAAAAGTCATCTTAGCTGACACCCCTCCGGCAAGGGAAAAAGGAGAGGGAGGGGATGAGTGGGGGGAAAGGGGGGGCAGGGAGGGAGGGGGAGGGGCAGGGAGCTGGAGGGCTCCCTAGCTGGCCCAGAGCGAAACCTAAAGGCAAAGCCACAGCCCTTCCCAAGGCAGCCAGTGGCAGCGCCACAGTGCCACAGAGGAGCCACGGAGAGGCTAACAGGACACACGGTGCCACGTGCCCGCAGGGACAGGAGCGAGTCCCCAGCCCCACACATGGGGACAGAAAGCAGATGCCGCCCCAGCACGCACACCTGGACACCTTCCCAGACACACAAACAAAGCGACGAAGCGACCTCCAGTCCTCTGCACACAGCAGGGGGGCAAGCGCTCCCCACACGGGAAGGAGGAGCCCTGCCGGGGCGCACAGTGAAGGGCGGGACACTGTGCAGGGGACAGTTTATTAGGACACTGTGGACGGTGACTGCTGGAAGGGAGAGGGTTGGCTGCCCACGGACGGGGACCTTCGGGGGGGCTCCACGCAGAGTCAGGGTGGGTGTGCCAATGTCACATTCGGCCCAGCTCTCAGGAAGGAGACCTTATTTGGCGCATGCTGCCATTGGCTCGCTGCATCTCAAACATATTTTCTTAATTTTTTTTTTTTTTTGGTACCAGGGATCAAACTCAGGTCCTTGCGCTTGCAAGGCAGGCAGCGGAACCACTGAGCTAAATCCCTGGCCTCACACATGTTTTCTAAGCTAATAGAAGGAGCCGTAGTCTCCCCAATCCTGGTGCCCAGGGACAGTGTCCCACCTGCCAGTCACACCTCCTGACCCCTTAACTCTCCCTCAAGTTTCCCCAAAAGCAACTCACTGGGGCCAGCCGTGGTAGCGCCTGCCTGTAATCCCAGCACTGAGGCAGGACTACCACCGAGTTGGAGCCCAACCTGGACTATGCAGTGAGACCGTATCTCGAAAACCCAAAATTAACTGGATCAATAAATACAGGCCCTGACTTCGGAGCACTGCACAAGACAGGTGTGGGCCAAATCTCAGATGAGGCAGCCATGCCAGGTCACCAGGGAAGATGGCCCGGCCCCGCTGCCTCGTGGGAAAGCGCCAGCTGCAGGCACAGGCAGGCAGCAGGGACGACATCACTGCTCATGCAGTGGCGGACGACTGCCTGAGGCCAGCGTGGACGGGACCAGCCAGGACCCTCCTGGGCGGACACGCTGACTCGGGCTGCTCGCTGTCCAGGACGTTTGACTGTTGCCTCCTATCCAGGGCAGGACCGGGCTCCTAGATTCTGCCCAAGGATGCCTCCTCAGGGAGACAAACAGAGACCCTTGGGGAGGAGCGAGGCCTCCTGGAGGCCACACTGTCACCAGTGAAGGTCAGACCCGAGCCCAGGGACCAGCGGCCAGCAGAAGCAGCGGGCACAGGAGGGCGAGGACCAGGTGGAAGGGGAGTGGCACGCCGCCTCCTGGGGCTGTCCAGGGCGGCCCTGCCACCCCGAGTAATGGGCTGGGCTGCGGCTAGGAGCTTCGCAGGAAAAGCGTCCCCTGGGCCCGATTAGCAGGGCAGCCGCGGGCAGACGCGCTCACTGGGCTGTCAGCCTGCACCATAACAGGCACCATTAATTGCTGTCATCTGAGGTGGCCCTGAGGGAGGAGCAGGAGGGAGGGAGGACAGCTTCTGGAGCTGGGAAGGAGACGGGGGGGCGGGGGGACCCCGCAGGGCTGAAGCCAGACCCGCTGCCCAAGGGGACAGAGCACAGCCTACTCTGCGGCCACGCAGTCCCTCTGCCCCTCCGTCCAAGGCCGGCCACCCCACGGCCCTTCATGGCCTCTGTGGGCCCTGCACCAGCATCCCGGGGGTGAGTGCCCAGCCCACTGCCCCAGGGACAGCACCTGGCTCCCCCAGGCCTGGGCGTCTTGTCTGCAGGGCGGGATGGTGACTTCCAGGTGGCTGTAGGGAGAACTGCAATGGCAGTGTGCAGGGGCAGTGGCCCGGTGGCATCTCCACGGCCAGCGTGGGCCCCTTCAGCCCCTCTGGCTCCCGGCACCACCTGCTCCACTCCTCCCGGCCTCTGTACCCTCAGCTGAGGCCCCCACAGGTCCCGAGTGAGGGGGCTCAGGAGGCTCCAGGGAGCGGCTGGGCCCTGGGGGGCAGGACAGTCCCCACCCCTCCTGTGTGTCTGCCCCTCCGCCCCAGACTTGATGGATCACCCGCCGCCGGCAGAGGCTAAGTGCTTGCAGACAAAAAGCCCTTTTATCGTCCCGGGTGGGCGCTGGCCTGACGGGCAGATAACTCAGGCAGGAGGAAGGCTCCCCATTAGGCGCCACGCAGATTGATGGCGAGTGAGACGCAGAGAGGAAGGGGGAGGAGGAAGAGGAGGGAGGGGAGGAAATGGAAGAGGAGGGAGATGCCCAGCAAGGCTGCCTGTCTCCCACTTGAGAGATCCTGGGCCTCCAGTCCAAGTGCTAGGCGGGCAACATGGCAGGCAGTGCCACCCGGGCCCCCAACCCAAGGTACCAGCCGCCATCCTGCCGAGGCCAGGTCTCAGGAAACCGGCCTGCAGGGCTGATCTCCAGCCTGCCTCTGGGGACCCCTGCCCAGGTGACTCGCCTGTCCTGCAAACCAGGACTGGCTCCGGGCACCCCAGGGGCTTTGCACAGGCTGCACCTGCGCCGAGACATCTCCCTGGGGTATCTGCCTGTGCCCTCTGTCCCCTCCCTTGGGCCTGTTCCCCCAACCCCACCACCTGCACCCCCACCCGCTGCCAGTCTCTCATCCAGAATGGGGCACCCTGTGGATGCTTCAGCAACAACCACCCAGTGAATGCAGAACAAAACCTCCCAACAGTGGCCGGGCACCGAATACCCCTCCCCGGGAGGCCACCCGGGCAGCAGCTACCCCTTACCCGGGGTAGGCTCGAGGCCCCACAGCACCCGCACACATCTCCAGGCAGAACTCGGCTCCCCAGGGACTGCAGACCTGCTTCCCACCAGGAGGCCAGGCACCGCACCCCAGGGCACCGACAGGGATGAGACCTCCAGACTGCACCACAGGAAGCCGTGTCCTCAGGGACCCGAGACCTGCAGCAGAAAACAGGGGTCCTGTCAGCACACATGCAGCTTCCGCCCCAGGGGCTGGCAGGGCCGGTCACGGGCCACCATCCACGGCCACAGGACCACCACACACCAGGCCAAGGTGACCCCATGCAGGCCACTGCCATCAGCGAAAGAGGCCAGCGACTCAGCCCCGGGCTTCACAGCTGGGGGTGAGCAAGCGTGGCCAGTGCAGTGCCTCGAAGCCCCCAACCGCAAGCTCACCTCTCCCTTACCCCCGGGGCCCAGGTGAGCAGCGAGTCACCCTACACACCCGAGAACTCCTGAGTCCCCACACAAGGCCAAAAGCATGTGGTTCCACCCTGCACCCCGCACACAGGGACAGCTTCAGACAGGTAAGGGCCAGGTGCCCCAAAGGAAGCGGAGCGGGAGCTGCACATATGACGGACACTCCACAAAACAGGGCGGATGCGTGGCCCACAGCGCAGGGAAAGATGTCAGTCAGCAGAACAGTGCCAGTGAAACCACAAGACCAAGCTGAGCAAGGAGGTACAGGCTGCTCAGGAGACTGAGGCAAGAGGATCTCCGGTTCCAGGCTAGCCTGGGCAACCTAACAAGATCCTATCTCAAAAACAAAACAAAACAAAAAAACAAACAAATGGGCTTTCCAGGTGACCTCAGGGTGTCTCCTCCCTCACATTCCCTGGCCTGGCCGTTTGTGTGTGTGTGTGTGTGTGTGTGTGTGTGTGTGTGTGTGTGTGTGTACACTCTTTATTGTGCAACCTTCTACAGGAAAAAGAATTATCAAAAAATGGGGCAGAGCACTGACCAGCGAGTCCAAAGACCCAGCTTCGATGCTGGGCAGCTGCCTCGGAGCTCCATGCTCCCACCCAGAGAAGGGGCAGGGTCCCCCAGGCCGCTCCAGGACCCACCCGCGCCAGCATTTCAGTCCCAAGCAGCCTGGAAAGCAGCCCTCTGTCCACCTGGCGCTGGGCCGCAGGCTGGGGAGGCTGCGGTGGAGCGCAGGGTCTGGAGCCCATTCCCCAGGTCCAATCTACCTCCGCTCCTTCCCAGCTGTACAAGCGGGAATCAGTAGCTTCACCCCAAGCTTCAGTTTCCTCTGATTTTTTTTTTTGCAGCACCAGGAATCAAACTCAGGACCTTGTGCTTGCCAGGCAGGTGCAGTGCCACTGAGCTACATCCCCCGCCCCACTCTGGCACTAGCCCCAGGACACCATGACACAGAGGTGCTCTGGGCCAGAGTGCACATGCCAGCCAGCCCTCCTGCCCCGCCAGCAGCCTTGGATAGGCAGCTGCAGGCAGCTCCCAGGGGAACCACCAGGCTCATCTTTCCCGTCCTGTTTTCTCTTTCAAGCTTTTTCCCTTCCCTGCCATGCCCCCAGGCATGGCACTGCTCCTGCCATCTGCAGCAGCTCAGAGACGGCCCCTGTGGGCAGGAGGGCCGGGCACAGCTCCCGGAAGCCTCGGCGGCCAGCCAGCCACCTGCAGGACAGCGTCACAGGCTGGGGAGCCAGGCCCGCTCCCCCGGCCTCCACCCCAGTCCAGACACAGCGTGGGGTCAGCAGGGGTGTTCGGGTAGCACAGGGCACCCCTAAGCAACAGGTAAACCCGGCTGGGACCTCCCAGGAGAGGCCACTCCCCAGCTGGCTGAACAGAGCACAGGCGGGGAGGGACGGGGCAGAGGGGCCAGGCCCTGCTGGAACTGGGGAGCAGCCCAGGCTGAGCCCACACCGGGCCTGGGGTCAGGGTTTCCCTCTCAGAGCTGTGAGTGGGGGCTGGTGAGGGACAAGGACGAATCGGGCTGCCCACGACTGCTCACCCCCCACTCAGTGCACACAGCTGCGGTCCCTCCCTCCTGCAGGACCCGCCCCACTCGGCCCACAGCAGGCAGAGGAAGTTCTGCTGGGCTCCCAGCCCCACGGCCAGGACAGGGACGCAGGGAGCAGTGGGAGCGTGGGGACCTCCCCATGGCACCACACTCCCAGCCCCACCCGCACCCAGCCCCACTCTGTCCCTCATGTCCCACCTCCTTCCGCCCCTAGGTCTGCGCAGGCCGCCCGCTCCTCCCCCAGGAGGCCCCTGCAATCACTGCCCAGGGCTGGACAGGCTGAGCCCTGGGCATCACGCGGTGGGGGGGTCCTCCCGCCGCCCAGGCCCAGCAAGGGCCCCCGGGAACATCTGTCCAGGCCAGGCCAGGGAGCCTCCTGTCCCCTTCATGAGGGAGCCGGCAGCGGAGAGCCAGAGGGAGGGACACTGCCCACAGCCCTTCCACTCCGCAGCCACCTCGGTGTTTTATTTTCCTTCTCAAGTGACAGCCGAGGCGCCCACCCTCGCCTCTCCTGGAGGATGCAGAGCAGCCTCCCGGAGTCTGCCACGGTCTCCCGGGCCACAGCCTGCAGCAGCCACTGCTAAGCACCAAGAGGACGGCGGGACAGGGGACATAAAGCATCTCCTCCAGCCTGCCCACTGCTGAATCGGGGCCGGGGCAGCAGGTGTGACGGACCGGCTGGGACGCCACAGTAAGGGAACAGGGCCGTGCTGTCACCCATGGGCTCCAGGTCAGGGGACCGGGGAGCAGATGAGCAGCCCTGGCTCCAAGACCACGCTCCAGAACCAACAGGAACCCAGTGACCAAGGTGACTGTGAGCCTCCTGCAGCCTCCTAGCCCAGGCCCAGTGCTGTCCTCCCAGATGGCGGGTGGGCGCCAGCCTGACCCACTTCAGAGACAGATAACCCAGGGCCCCAGGCTGCAACTGCCAGGAAGACTCAAGGAGACAGAGCCCAGCCTGACCCCGTTCTCGGTCTGTCCCCAGCATGGGCGTCACCCGGCAGCGGCAGAAGGAGCAATCGGAGGCCAGGAGGAGCCCATGGACCACGCCCGAGGGCACCGGCCCACCACAGCAGTTCAGCCCCAGGCCAGGCTCACACAGCTCAGGGCGGGGACACAGGCCAGGCGGCCAGGGGTTCACTGTGCCGGGCACCACTCAGCCCCCTGGACTCGTTAACTCAAAGGGACCTCAAGACACGCTACGACGCCCCAGATCTCAGATGATGGTGCCACAAGGCCGGGTGCCACACTGCCTGGCGCCTCAGGGAGGGGTGGAGGGGCCCAGGGAACGCCGATGGGGGAGCTTCCACACAGGTCTCACCCACAAAGGCTCCTTCGGTTTCACCCCCGAGGTGTGCAGAGCGAGTGCCCCAAACCACTGCTCAGCTCGCCTGGAGGCCATCCAGGAGCCCCAGGGCTCCCCAGGGCCCCACAGCCTGGGCCCAGCCCCCACCCAGGAGCCAGGGCTCAGCAGGCAGAGGCCAGGGACAGGGCTGGGGCCGCCATCGATCGCCAGAAGCAATTAATTGCCTGGGTCAGGAGACGGTGAAAGAAGCTTGTCACCCCGGGCCGGGATACTGCAGAGTGCAGCCGCCCGCGTCAGGAGGACTTGGGGAGCTGGGGCCTTGCTCTGGTCCCCACCCCCAGCCTCGCTGGGCCCGCCGCAGTGCCACCACAGAGTCCCCTGCACTGCAGCCCCGACCCACTGAGGCTGAGGACTGCCTAGCGTGCAGGAGGGGATGCCAGCCCGGCCCGGCCCCGCCTGGGGGCCACCACAGCCCCACCGGTCTGCCCGAGCTCTGCATGCAGCTCTCGGCTTCCCCTAGGCCAGGAAGCAAGGCCGGGCGGAGACAGGGCGTGACCGGGCCAGTACCATCCCTCCTCCTCCTTCCTCTGCCTCTGTCCCCGCCTGTGAGAGGTGGGCCAAGGCCAGCACACAGTGCACACCTGCCCGAGACTCAGCTGCACCTCACGGGGACCCCCAAACCCTCCCCAGGGCTGCCCCACTCAGGTGCCTGTCAGTGCCCCCAGCACCTCAGACAGCAGGACCAGGACCCAAGCAAGGGCTGGAGGACACAGTGACTGATGACCAGGGGCAGCAGAGCACAGCCCACCACCTCTGCAGCAGGACAGGCCAGCGGTATGGGTTTCGGTGGCCACCATGTGCCACCAAGCTTCCAGGGTAGTTGCCCTGGAGACTGGAAGTGCCAGGCACAAGTCAGGACCCTGAGACCCTGATGGATGGGGCTTGGACGGGCCCAGGGCAAGGCCTCCCCAAGTCCCCACTGCGTCTCTCCAGCCCTCCAGGCCAGCACCGGGCTGTGAGAGATGCCAACCCTGCCTCCACCTCCTCCCGCCACAGGCAGGGAAACCAAGGCAAGCTCGGATGCTGAGGGCGGTGGGGCTCCTGGTGCCATGGGAGGGGGAGGTCCCCAAGACACACCACCCGTGTAGCCAGGGGCTGCTGGGCGCCGGGCAGCACTGAGTAGGCCAGCACTGAGTAGCCCCCCCCCCCACCTCTCTGAGCCCCGGGGCTGGACCACAAGCCAGGGAGAGGACTGGGCTTGGTCACGAGACTGTTGAGAATCACACACTAACTCAGCATGTGGCCTGCCGTGGAGGCATTCACCTATAATCCCAGCTACTTGAGAGGCTGAGGCAGGAAGATCTCAAGTTCAAGGCCAGTTTAGGCAACTCAGAAAGACCCTGTCTCAAAGAGGGCTGGGCAGTGCAAGGCCAGGGCAGGAGCAGCCAGCAGGCAGCCAGGGCGAAAATCCCACTGCTCCCTGCTGGGGCCTGGCAGCTTTTATCTCCTCGGAGATAGGCCACCTCTCAGGTTTACACACGGATCAAATGATCCCACTTAATCCCCTCAGGGACTCCCTGAGCCGACCCTCAGAAACAGGGGGCCCCACACCCCAGGACAGGGACGGAGGTGCCCACACCCCAGGCCACCCAGGAGCTACTATGGACGCTACTCTCCAGACAGGGAAACTGAGGCAGAAAGGAGCCTTCCATCTCCCCCATGCCCGGATGCCAAAGAAGGGAGTGGGCAGAGGTCCTCTGGCTGAGTACACAGTAGGTGCCTAATGAATGCAGCTGGATGAATGGGACCCAGCCGGAGCCTCCTGGGGGAGGGACAGCAGCGCACCTTTCCACTGCTGGCTTTGGCTGCTAA